ATGTGCTTCTCTCATTGTTTTTTTATTTTTATTTTTGGTTTTTCACGACAGGGTTTCCTCTGTGTTGTTTTGGAGGCCTCTGTAGACCCAGCTGGCCTTGAACTCACAGAGATCTGCCTGCCTCTGCCTCCTGAGTTCTGGGTTTAAAGGCATGTGCTACCAACGCCCGGCCTTGCTCTCATTGTAATAAAAAACTGATTGGTCAATAGCTAGGCAGGAAGAGATTAGGCAAGACAACCTGAGACAGAAAGAATGCTGGGATGAAGAGGGGCAGAGTTAGAGGAACCATCAACAGACACGGGGAGAAAAAGCAAGATGGGCATGCCATACTGAGAAAAGCTACCAAGCCTTGTGGCAAAGTATAAATGAAAATATAGATTAAGTGTAAGAGTTAACTAGTAACAAGCCTGAGGTATTGGCCAAGCATTTACAATTAATATTGTCTCAGTGTGTTTATTTGAGAGTGCCTATAGGCCAGGAAAACTCTGCCTTGAATTATCTGAATTGAAAAGGTTTCTCTTAGAAGCTTTATTTACTGCTTTCCTTGATATTTTTATTGAGAAGACTAGAGGTCTTCAAAAGCTTGGAGTGAGATAGAGTAAATAGCAGTGCCTTAGTTTTTTGACTGTTGCTATGATAAAATATTAACCAAAGCAATTTGGGGTAAAGGGTTTATTTGACTTATAGGATAAAGTCCATCCTGGTGGAAAGATAAGACAGAAACTGAAACACAGGTCATGGTGGATTGCTGTTTTCTGGCTTGCTTCCATGCATTGACCAACTACCTTCTTTAAACAAACTGATTTGTGCTGTCTGTCACAACTTTATAGATAATTTAAAAAGATGTGAATTTGGAAGAGGGAGAATAATGGAGGATATATGATGAAAATGGGGGAAATTGGGTAGCATATATGATCATATTTTATTGTATACATGTGTAGAATTTCAGGAATAAAGGAAATATTCTATTTTTTTGAGGGGATGCAATTCCAAGACAGGTAGCTTTGAAATCTCTCCTGGAACTCATTCTATACAATCAACCTATATCTGTCTCTCGAGTGTTGGAATGAAAACATTCACCACCACAGCCTGGCTAAGAAAATATTCTTTATTTGTTTTTCGAGATAAGGTTTCTCTGTGGCTTTGGAGGCTGTCCTGGAATTAGCTCTTGTAGACCCAGCTGGCCTTGAACTCACAGAGATCTGCCTGCCTCTGCCTCCTGAGTGCTGGTATTAAAGGTGTGTGCCACCAACGCCCGGCTTAAAAAAATATTCTTAATGAATGAATTTTGTCAAAAGAAAAATTTTAAGTTTCAAATTTTATTTAGTTAATACTTTTGATTGTTTATTGAAAGTCAAATTTGAAAATGTGATGTGGTCATTTTTCTGTGTTTTCCACTTATATTGTATGTGATAATTTACAAATTCCAATTCTATATACAAACTGATTTATGATAAACATAGTGAAAATATCTCTTAACATATTATTATAAAAATCAATTATTATTCATTTTGTCCAGTAATTCAAAGTGATATATAAATGAGTATAAAGAAATTTTTAACAAAACCTTTAGCTTCTGAATTTTCTGTTATTTATTCTTCTCTTTTTTAAATTTAAGTTACAAACAATCTTATTTTACATATCGATCCCAGTTCCCTTTCCCTCCCATCCTCCCAAGTAATACCCCCCCATACCGACTCCCATCCACTTTCCAGGGAGACTGAGGCTTTCCATGTGGGATCATCAAAGTGTGTCACATAATTTGGGGCAAGGCCTAGGTCCTCCCCCATGTATATAGACTCAGAGAGTATCCCTCCCAAAGTTCAGTCGTGCAGTAGGGATAAATACTGGTTCCACCACCAAAGACCCCATAGACTGCACAGGCCTTTGTGTTCCCCATGTTCAGGGGGCCTGGTTAAGGGCTATGCTGGTCTCCCAACTGTCTGGCTGGGGACCATGAGCTCCCATTTGCTCAGGTCAGCTGTTTCTGTGGGTTTCCCCAGCATGGTTTTGACCCATTTGTTAGTCACACTTCCCTCTCTACAACTGGATTCCAGGAGATCTGCTCAGTGCTTAGCTGTGGATCTTTGCTTCTGCTTCTATCAGCTACTGTTTGAAGCCTCTAGGATGGCATATAAAGGTAGTCATCAACCTTACTATAGGGAAAGGTATTTGAGGTAGCCTGTAATGAGCAGTCTTCTTGCCAGCCTGGTCCCAGAGCCGCATCACTTCCAAATAAACATGCAGGACATTATATTAGTTATGAAGTTGTTGGCCATTTGGTATGGTTTCTTAACAACTAGCTCTGACTTAATTATTAACCCATAATTTCTAGTATATACTTTATAAGGTCTTATCTTACTGAGAAAAACAGACTTGCACCCTCTCTTCCTGAGGTCACATGGCAACTCTCTACTCTAGACTATATTTCCTAGAATCCTCCTTGACTTCTAGTCCCACTTGTCTTGCTTTATTTATCAACCAATAAAACAGCATATACACAGAAGGACTTCCCCAATAAGTAGATTCTTAGTTGGGGTCATCCTTGTAGATTTCTGGACATTTCTTTAGTGCCAGATTTATCTTTAAACCTATAATAGCTCCCTCTATTAAGGCATCTCTTTTGTTTTCCTCTCCTATATTCTTCCCCTGATTCAATCTTCCTGTTTCCTCATGTCCTCCTCTCATCTCCTCTTCTCCCCTTGTCTTTCTCCTAACTCCCTCTCCCACCATGCTCCCAGTTTGCTCAGGAGATCTTGTCCCTTTACCCTTCTCCAGGGGACCATGTATGTCTCTCTTAGGGTTGTCCTTGCTTCCTAGCTTCTCTGACAGTATGGATTGTAGGTTGGTTGCCCTTTGCTCTATGTCAAATATCCACTTATGAGTGAGTACATTCCAGGTTTGTCTTTTTGTGACTGGGTTACGTCACTCAGGATGGTTCCTTCTAGTTTCATACATTTGTCTGTGAATTTCAAGATTTCATTTTTTTCCATTGAGTAACACTCCATTGTATAAATTTACCACATTTTCTCTATCCGTTCTTTAGTTGAGGGGCATCTTGGTTACTTCCAGATTCTGGCTATTATAAATAATGATGCTGAGAGCACAGTTGAACAGATGTCATTGATGTATAAGTGTTCATCCTTTGAGTATATGCTTAACAGTGGAATTATTGGATCTTGAGATAGACAGGTTCCCATTTTCCAGAGAAGCTACCATATACTGATTTCCAAAGTGGCTGTGCAAGTTTACACTCCCACCAGCAATGGAAGAGTGTTCCACTTTCTACACATCATCTCTAGCATAAGCTGTTGTTCATATTTTTTATTTTAGCCATCCTGACAGGTATAAGGTGCTATCTCAGAGTTGTTTTGATTTGCATTTCCCTGGTGACTAAGGATGAGGAACACTTTCTTAAGTGCCTTTCAGCCATTTTAGACTCCTCTATTGGTAATTCCTGTTTAGTTCTGTACCCCACTTTTTATTTGGAATATTGGTGTTTTGTGACCAGCTTCTGCTGTTTTGTCTTGTTTACTGTGTACTATGCCTTACAGAAGCTTCTCAGTTTCAGAAGGTCTCATTTATTAATTGTCAATCTCAGTGTTATGTTTAGGAAGTGGTCTCCTGTACCAATTTGTTCGAGGGTACCACTCATTTTCTCTTCTAAGAGGTTCAGTGTGGCTGTGTTTATGTTGAGGTCTTTGATCCATTTGGACTTAAGTTTTATGAATGGAAGTAGATATGGATCTATCTACAATCTTTTACATGCCAGCATCCAATTATGCCAGCAACACTTGTTGAAGATGCTTTCTTTTTTCCATTGCATAATTTTAGCTTCATTGTCAAAAATCAGTTGTTCATAGGCATGTGGGTTAATATCAGGGTTTTCAATTCAATTCCATTGATCTACCTGTCGACTTTTGTGTCAATACCGAGCTGCTTTCAGGACTATAGCTCTATAATAGAGCTTGAAGACAGGGATGGTGATGCCTCCAGAAGTTTCTTTATTGTACCTACAGGGTTGTTTTTGATATCCTGTTTTGTTTTCTGGATTTTTTCTTCATATAAAGTTGAGTATTGTTCTTTCAAGGTCTGTGAAGAATTGTGCTGGTATTTGGATGGGGACTGCATTGAATCTGTAGATTGCTTTTGACCAGATTGCCATTTTTACTATGGTGATTCTATCTATCCCAGAGCATGTGACATCTTTCCATTTTCTGGTGTCTTCTTTATTTTCTTTTTTTAAAGACTCAAAGTTATTTGTCATATAGGTCTTTCAGTTGTTTGGTTAGAGTTACGCCAAGATATTTTATGTTGTAAAGGGTGATGTTTCTCTGATTTCTTTCTCAGCCCAGTTATTGTCTATATATAGTAGGGCTACTGATTGTAATGTGGTGGGAGGACTTCTTTTTGTGGTCCAGTCTATTTGGTGTTCTATAATCTTCTTGTACTTTCATAGGCCTATCTTTCTTTAGGTTGGTGAAGTTTTCTTCTATGATTTTGTTAATATGCTTTCTGCACCTTTTAGGTGGATTTCTTCACTTCTTTTATACCTATTATTCTTAGGGTTAGCCTTTTCACAGTATCCCATATTTCCTGGATACTTTTTGTTAGGGATTTGTTGAACTTAAGATTTTCTTTGGTCAATGAATCTATTTCTCCTAGTGTATCTTCATTGCATGAGATTTTCTCTTCCACCTCTTGCATTCTGTTGGTCATGGTTGTATTTGCAGTTTCTGGTGATTTACCTAGTTTTTCTATTTCCAGCATTCCCTCTTACTGTGTTTATTTTTGTCTCTTTTTCACATTTTAAGACTGTTGAATTGTTTCTTTCACTTGTTTGGTTGTTTCTTCTTGACTTCCCTTGCTTTCTTTAAGAGATTTATTTATTTATTGCATTTTTTGGTTTGTCTTTTTCTCCATTTCTTGAATTTTTGGCTTTTTTTTCTTCCATTTCTTTGAGGAATTATCTCATGTCCTCTTTGAGGGTCTCTGTCACCTTCATAAAATTTTTTTACCGTCATTCTCTTCTGTTTCATCTGTGTTTAGGTCTTATTGGTGTAGAGTCCCTAGACTCTGGTGGCATCATATTGGCTTTTCTGTTGTTGAAAGTGTTCTTATATTGTTGCCTTCCCTTCCATTCTTCTAGTGTGTACAGGTGGGGTCTCTCCCTCTCCTAGTGGGTATGGATCCAAGGTTTCCTTTCAGTGGGTGCAAGCAGGTTTGATACTCTGACAGCTCTCATGGTGAGTGCAGAAGGTTCTAAGACACTCTGTCTTCTACTGGGTGGAGGCAGGACTACAACTTCAATGTTACCAGATTCTGGATGGCTTAGCCTCCTGTGCACAGCCCCCAGGCCAGGAGACTCCAAGGAGGGCAAGTAGAAGGCAGGCCATAGACAGACCCACACTCACCTCTCCCTGTGGGTGGAGGCGGGTCTCTTTAGTCCCAGCACTTGGGAGGCAGAGGCAGGCAGATCTTTGAGTTTGAGACCAGCCTGGTCTACAGAGCTGGTTCCAGCTTAACCAGGGCTACACAAAGAAATGATGTCATGGTGTAGCTGCCAAGGTTGCCAGAATTCTTTCCCCACAGGACAGTCAAGGCTGGCTTCTGAATTTTCTTAAGAAACTACTTTTCATTAATCTCTTATGCTCTTTGATCTGTAGGATTAATATAGTAAAAATAGTAATCCAATCAATCGAAATGTACATATTCAATGTAACATGCATCAAAATACTAACATAGTTACACACATATCTTTAAAGGACATATTTTAGCACCATATGGAAATGCAAAAAAAAGCACAAAAATACCCAGGTTCCACTGCCAGAGTCCCCATAGAGTGCCCAGACCCCTCAACTGATATCCACGTTCAGGGGACCTGGTTCAATCTTATGCTGGTTCCCCAACTGTCAGACTGGGGTCTGTGAGCTCCTACTTGCTCACGTCAGCTGTTTCTGTGGTTCCCCCAGCATGGTCTTCACCCCTTTGTTCATCACTACTCCCTCTCTACAACTGGATTCCAGGAGTTCAGTTCAGTGCTTATCTGTGAATCTCTGCTTCTGCTTCCATCAGCTACTAGATGAAGGCTCTAGGATGGCATTTAAGGTAGTTATTAATCTCATTACAGGGGAAGGGCATTTAAGGTAGCCTCTCCACTGTTACTTAGTGCCATGGACCACCACAGTGAGGTATAGAGTTCCCTGGGATTCGGGGATCCTCAAAAACTAGGTGTGTAAGGATTTGGTGGTATCAAACAGAAACAAACACAGAGACAGTTCGAATCTGAGTGTATTTTCTAGTTCTCAAACAAGGCTTTTTTATAGGAATATTTTTCTCAGGGAATGTTTTTGTTAAGCAAACCCAAACATATGATATTATTGTTACTTTGCACAGTAACACAAAATCCCAAATATAAAATCCTCCAGGGTTAACCACATATTTCTGAATCAAATTAATAAATTTTATGGTCAGTTATTGTTTAGCATCTATTACCTAGTTCTTGTGAGTTTTTGAAATATTGAGCCATTTTTAACTATTTTAGTTCTTTCTTATTAAAAGCTTTCATTACCATACAGATAAGCCCACTCTCAATGACGCATGTACAGCCATAAAAATTTTATTGTTGGGAAAATTTTTGCTATTTGTACTTATGAAAGTGATGTGAATGATTTGGAAAGCACTGGTTTTTCCAGAGATGAGGTCATGGCTAGTGACCCCATCTCAGGGGATGTTTTCTTATCTCTTTCTTTTGTTTAATATATCTGCATAGGCTTTTAGGAACATTTTTTAATTTTTTTATTTATTATGTATACAATGTTCTGTCTGCATGTCTCCCTGCAGGCCAGAAGAGGGCACCAGATTTCATTACAGATGGTTGTGAGCCACCATGTGGTTTCTGGGAATTGAACTCAGAACCTCTGGAAGAGCAGCCAGTGCTCTTAACCTCTGAGCCATCGCTCTACCCCAAGGACCATTTAATTAATGTGAAAAAAGGGAATAGAAGAACAAACATAAATTGCCACAAGAATCACAGCCCAATATTTTTTTGGTAGTTGAGAGTTCCACAACCATTTCCAGGAGACCTCCTTCTTTTGAAGTTATTGCCTCAGTCTATGGAACTTGCCACAAAGAATCTACTGAATTTGGTGTGGCACTTAGATTCTTAGTTGGGGACATTCTTGTGGATTCCTGGAGATTTCCCTAGTACTAGATTTCTTGTTAAGTCTTGTTAATGACTTCCTCTCTTAAGGTATCTCTTTCTTTGTTCTCAAAGTCTATGGGGCCTCTGGCTGTGAAACCAGTATTTACCCCAGTTCATGACTGGGCTTTGAGAGCATATTCCCTATGGAGGGATACTCTCTCAACCTAGATATTGTCTCAAATAATGTGACAGACTTTGATGATTGCCCATCAAAGGCCTCATCCTCCCTGAAGAGTGGATGGGGTTGGAGTAGGAGTTGATGGGGGAATGGGAAGACAGGGGGGAGTTGGAACTAGGATTGGTATGCAAAATAAGATTGTTTTTAATTTAAATAAAAATTAATTTTAAAAAGTCAGGTTAGCTAAAACAATCCTAAACAACAAAAATCTGTTCTATTTATCACCATTCCTGATTTCAAGTTGTACCACAGAGCTATAGTAATTAATAAGCACAATAGTGGCACAAAACAGACCTGTAGATCAATGGTATCAAATTGAGGATCCAGATATAAATCTGTACACCTTTTTTGTCTTTTAGATAAGGAAGTCAGAAATGGAATAAAGACAATATATTAAACAAATAGTGCTTCTCAAAATTGAGGGATCAATACTGAAGAATCTGAATAGATCCACATATATCACACTGTCTCAAGTCAACTCCAAATGAATCAAATACTACAACACAAAAACAAATACATTGAACATGGTAGAGGAGAAAGTGGGAAATGGTCTTGAACTCATTGATTCAGGAGAAGAATTTCCTAACAGAACACCATTAGTGCAGGCATTAGGGTCAACGATTAATAAATGGGCCCTCATTAAATGTAGGATGCAGATTAAGGAGAACAGTTCTGTATTTCCTGTGGAAGTGCAAACTTGTTCAGCCACTATGGAAATCAGTGTGGCAGTTCCTAAGGAAGATGAGAATTGATCTACTTATGATCCTACTATACCACCTGTGATGGCTCTTTTTGGTTTTCAGTGAAAAATAAGTTAAAGCATTTTATCCTCACTTTTGGAAATTCATTTAACTCCTACCAATGTCGTAATCTATTATTTACCCTGGAAGGCAGAGAAGGCACTTCCAATTCTTGAATGACCAGTGAGAGAGAACATCAGGCAGAGCACATTTATCCTGAAGAGTGACAGAGGATGAACTCCAAGTGTCAGCGTGTGAAGCTCAATGATGGGCACTTCATTCCTGTGCTGGGCTTGGGTACTGCTGTACCTGAAGAGGTAAAACAGCAATGCTGGGGTTGAGGGTTTAGAAGAAATAGAACCATAGTAAAGTAAATCTACCTGACTTGAAAAGTCACTCACTTCTTAGTGACGTTGGGCCTCCTAAATTCTCCCTTTCCCGAGGCTAGAGTTGTGTGTTGCAATAGAGAAAGATTGCTCAAAGGCTGGATGTGGTCACTGGCTGCTTGCTATTCTGGAACCATGTTTTCTTTTGTTTAAGTCCATTTCCTTCAGCTTCACTGTCTGAAAATGAATGTTATACATTCTTTAAATGTTTATATAGAGTATTCTTCCTTTAGGGAAAAGTCTGCTCAGATAGGCTATCCATTTAAAAGAATGGATTATGTGGTTTTTATTAGTTTTGGTTACTCCACACACTTCTGACAACAGTGCTTTATGATAATAATTGTTCTTAATTTTCTCTTTCTTTAAATAACTGATACTTTCCAACTGTAGGGCATGAGCTTTGTGCTGTAGAAGTATTAAAATTTTAATATTATCATATTTTTATATTTCTCCTCTTGCTTCTTATGCTTTAAGAGACATATTTGGAGACAATGCCTACATAGAAGCTATTATCTAATTCATTTCTGTGTTGTAGTATTTATATTGTAGGTGCTACATGGAATCAGTTCACATGCCTATCATTCAATAAGTAGATAAAGAGAATGTGATCATTAATCTTTTCATCACACTATTTACACAATTTACATTATGAATCCATAAATCCAACATATATATATACATGTCCAGAAGAAAATAATTACAAGAAGCAAATGAACCCAGTCTCCAAAGGACAAATATCATGTTTTCTCTAGTTTACACTTCCTTGATTTTATGTAGGTATACAAGACATGTGTGCATATATGTCTGTCATCAAGTGAAATTCTTTTAGTTAAGAAGGGGATTAATGTGGAGGAAATGAAAAGGAGAAAGGGAAGGAGCACACTGTTGGGTGAGACACATAATCAACAATGTAATATGCTTGTGTGAAAATGTCCTTACATAACATGGTATCATAGGCAATTGATATTCACAATACAATATTTTTAAGTATATATAAGGAAGCATATCACCTATTAATTTTGAATTATTCTTTCATAAAAGTAAATGGTGTTATATCATTGGTAGTGACATAGATCCAACTATATACATACTCCTATGACTGCCTGCTAAAGAACAAAATATAGTGTCTTACTCTGTCTCAGAATAGGAAACTATAACAACTCAACTTTAATAATAAATATTTGACACTACAGGTTGAGACTGGAAATAAAAGGGGATGTACAATGATCAACAGAATTTGTGTACCTAGTATATAAAAGCATTTGAATAGAAAGAGTAACTTTTGGGTCTCTCACTTTGGAGGAAGAGTCTAGTTTGAAATAACTTAACAAGAAGTTCTCAATATCTGGATGGGAAGAGAGTAAGGAATACAAATTTGATATAACTTGTAAGGCATGTTAGATGGGGTCTGTCTTTATTCAGGGTACATGGTCACTTAACATGATTATTACATGAAATTATTACATAATAACCTAAACAGAATTTTGAATAGATTCTAGGTTTAAAGATCAGAAGCATGTTGATGTTCAATGTTTCATAATTCTCAAACTCTTTTGCTATTAAGCTATAAATTTGTCTACATGAATAATATACAAAAGAAGTAAAAAGAAACATAACTGCAAGGTTCCTCAATTGGAAGTTGATTGTAACTTTAGTGGTTTTTCTACTTATTTTTTATTGAAGATATTTTACACTTTTTATAAGCCAGTTGATAATGGTATTACTATAATGAGGTTTCTGAGATGAAAAACGTGATTCATTTTACTTTGGTGCTCTGCTTTGAGTTTGGCTGATTATTTCATTTTATTCCTAGGAAATGTGTTAAGTAGATGTCTCCATGTGTTATTTTCATGGCAGTTGATGTTTCCCAAAGGTATCACTATGCAAACACATCAGTATTGAAATTTTAACCCACCTCAGCCATTCTTGGGCTGTTTCTATGGACTTTGGTTGCATAGCCAACTATTAACTAATCTTGGCACAAGATAAATAACAAGAAGTAAAAATGTGACAATGACCTAGCAGAAACCAGGAGCTTATGAAAAGATTTTAGACATAAATAATCTGTGTTCAAATATATTGGATTTAATGCACAATGGTACAAACAATTCTTTTCAATGAAAGTGTGGAACTAGATAGTTTACTTGCCTGGTATGAAAGCTGCTTTCTAGTAATGTACTTAACCTTACCACAAACATGTGTCTATGAACTAGTTTCAGAGCTTTAAATTCACTCTTATTCTATAAATTTATTCTTTTTAATTCTGTTTTTTTCTCTCCTCTTCTTTTCTCTCTCACTGCCTCTCTTGCTGTCTCTTCCTATGTCTGTCTGTCTGTCTGTCTGTCTCTCTCTCTCTGTTTCTCTCTCTCTTCGTGTGTGTGTGTGTGTGTGTGTGTGTGTGTGTGTGTGTGTTCATATGTGCATACTTGCCATGGTACCATTGTGGAGGACAGAAATCAACAGACAGGTTATTTCTCTTCCACCTTGTGGATCTCAGGGATTAAAAAAGTGTCATCAGGATTGTGGGTAAATGCTTAATCTGTTGAGTTATCCCAATGGACTAAGGTCTTTAAAAAGTGTCCAAAGGACAATGATGAATAACAATGACAAGAATTGTTTAAATTGTGGAGGAAAGTAGAATGAAAGGCAGGAGAAGATTGGAAGCACCTTAGGAATTAAAAAAATATAAAGGGTGGTGTCACAAGAAGGTAGAAGGTGTGTCAGTGTGTGTAGCAATTTTATTGATAAAAATTAGAAGACATTTCATTTTATGTAGATGAAATCCCACTGCCTCAACAAGCACCTGTGTTATTATAAACATAATTTGTTTTGGAGACACTATTTGGGGACATAGTAAGTCAAGTGTGTGTGTAACAAACTGAAAATGATTACTTTGAATGGGGCTTCTAACCATCCATTTAAATATCAGAACACCCGTTGTGATTTCAGTCTTTGGGGACTATAGTGAGTTCTGTATGCTTTTCCTGGGAGAAAAATCATAGAAAATTCACAATATAAGTCGTAAGTTTGGAGGAAGCACAAAAGATGAGAATTTAAACTAACTCAAACAGCTAGAGAAAGTTTTATTTGGTGCCTTAGATAGGGAACCTCAAGTTTTGACCACACTGTGATCATGGCACAGGACCCAGTCACTCATTGACTAGAGTTCAAGGGAACACAGATGATATGTTTTAGTTTGTATTTTTGTAGCTGTGTATAGGGAAGATCATTAGAGGAAGACTGGGAAAGTAAGTTCTTTTTCTTAAATTAGGTGTTTTTGAAACAGCAATATCTGTTAGTTTTTTCAATCATCAGATATCTAGGGACATAGTCAGGTGTTTTTCTTCTTAAATGACCAAATAACTGAGTTCTTGGAAGTTTGAACTCAGTTTTATGGCCTTGGCTTGGGGATGGAGGGAATTTTCTTAAATAACATTTAATTTTTGTGTCAATTGTAACATAGTTTCCTGTGTAAATTTTGTTTACTATTCTTATGATTCCCTGTAATAAGTCCTGGGTCCTAGGTGCTAGTAGAGACATCCTATGACAATGACTAATCTGTAATTTCCAAGAACAGAACAGAAGAGATTCCCAGGTTGCTTTACTCTTGTTATCTGATAGACAAATGTCACAATAAACTCACATAGAGTCCTTACTAAAAAAGTAGTGGGGAATAGTTGATATGAGAACAGGTCACATTTTGTGCCCAAATACATTTTGAATCATGCATACCTGTCTATAAATGCTACCTTCGTTGCTCTCCAGTTTCCCCGGAATAACTTGAAGGAAATCATCAAAATCGCTATAGATGCAGGCTTTCACCATTTTGATTCTGCCTTTCTTTATAAAACTGAAGAGTATGTGGGAGAGTCCATCCGAAAAAAGATTGCTGATGGCACTGTGAGGAGAGAAGATATATTTTACACAACTAAGGTACTGTATAATATGTACCTATGAATTAACCATGATATTTGAAGAGATATCCCTATGATTAGATCAGTAGTTGTTAGTGAATTGTACTTACTGGTTTATCTTTTACTTATATGTATTTGCATATGAGGTATAGCACTGACTGACACAAAATGGTTTTCTTATTATTGCTATCTTTAGATTCATGAATTTTATTTCCTGCCTCTCATTTCTTCATGTTAGCTTATAGGAATATGATATAAATTTGAGTATGGAAGACAGTAAGTAGCCTTGCTTATCTTCTGGATTACTTTGTAACAGTTCTGATTACTCTGAAAATTTTAGATACTTTTATCAATAAGAGAAAATAAGATTAGATACTGGATGTTAAGCAAGATGTAACTAAGGCATACAACAAAATGTTGAAAATATTTTCTGTGGGTGTCAGTGAGGAGGCCTAGGTAATCTGTGGGGCCTTGGGTAGTAGATCAGTATTTATCCCTGGCACACAAATGGACTTTGGATGCGCATCCCACAATGAGAGATGCTCTCTCTGCCTGGACTCTTGTGGGAGATCCAAGACCCTGCCCTGGATAAAATGGCAGACTAGGGATACCCTCCATGAATGGCCTTACCCTCCCTGGGGAAAGGAGTGGTGATTTGGGAAGGGGGGAATGGGGGAATGGGGGATTGGTTGGAGGGGAGGAGAGTAGCTGGGATTGACATGTGAAGCAACCTTGTTTCTAATTTAAATTTAAAAATGAAAAAGAAACAAATTACATAAGGCAATGTGTGACAGAGCTAGGCATTCAAGATTGATATTTGGCCTCTATGTGTGTATACTGAATAAGCAAAACAGCACATACACATGCAAGCCCACCCACCACTAACTATACCATATTGAGTGGACTGTGTAAAAATACTAGACTCTTACTAAGCAGTTTAATCCAGTAAAATATAATATTGATGAAGAACAATATTATTACTTGATTAAGATATTGGGTCTTGAATAATTTTCAAGACTAATTAATAATAAACATTAGAGATGTGCATATCTAGAGCAGATTAAAGGACATCTTGGAAAAAGTGGAATATTCCCTGTGTGCACATCAATTTCAATTAAGTAAAAAAATGTTTTTGTGTTAAGTAAAGTAAAAGAACAAATTACTAGAATTTATTAATTCAACCAGAGTTCCACTTTCTACTGTAGGTTTGGTGTAATTGCCTTCGCCCAGAACTGGTGAGATCTTCCTTGGAACAGTCACTGAAGAAAGTTCAGTTGGACTATGTGGACCTGTATCTCATGCATTTCCCAATGGCCTTGAAAGTATGTAGTTTGAATCTCCAAAAATATTTCTTCTAGAATAGTATATAATTATGCTTGTTTAGTAATAGGACAACTACAGGGATCACAGTAGAGGAGAGGGAAAATGATTTTAAGATTTAGAGGAGTCGAAAGTTTTCTGTGTGATGGCATCTTCTAAAGACATCAGGGACACTATTCCCATGAAGTCTTACAACTGTGTCAACTAAAGTATAGCTGAACAAGGACCAGGATAAAGATAATGTGGAAGAGGAAAATCTCATGAGGCCTCAACACTAGATGAAGAACAACAGGTGTCTAAGAAATTAGAGGAAGAGAAATAGTCTTCTCCAGGGTAGACCCCAAATTGGTTATCCACAAAGTGGAAAGCCCTAAACAGTCATAAAACTCAAGAAAGACACTCTATAATGACCCAGAAATGTAGTATTTTTGAATACATATAATGCATATAAGAAAAATAGTATTCTAGTATCCAAGGGAATTTCATTAATTTAAAATTAAAATAGATGACAAATATAATTACATTAACTATGATCTACCTATCCTATGAAAGCTTAGTTCTCGGCACCCACTATGTCTAGAGTCATTGCTATTGGTTGGAAAAATGAATTTGTTGAGAGGTTACTGTAACATTTGGTTCTCTTCCAGGCAGGAGAAGATGAGTTTCCGATAGATGAACATGGAAAATTAATATTTGACACAGTGGATCTCTGTGCCACCTGGGAAGTGAGTACTAGGTTTAGAGAACACGGGAGAAATTCAATGAGAGGAAAAGTCAGGTCACAATTTCATGAGAGTGGCTGTCTGTTTTTCTGTGTTAAAATATGAGGTTATTTCCAAGGGCTATTGTTTTCTTTTTATTTATTTATTACTTTAATTTTAAATAGTTTAATTCACATGTCAATCCCAGTTCCCTCTCCCTCCCCTCTTCCGTCCCCTCCCACCATTCCCCCTCGCGCCCCACCTTATCCCCACTTTCTCCCACATAGGGGATATCCAGAGTCTGTCATTTCACTCAGAGCAGCTTCCAGGCACTCCCCTTAAGAGTCCAGGATGAGAGAGCATCCCTCTTTGTGTTATGGACACATGAAGTCCGTTTGTATGAAAGGAATAAACACTGATCTACTGACCCATAGGTTGCCCAGGCCTCCTCACTGACTCTCACACTCAGGGGGTCTGGATCAGTCCCATGCTGGCCTCCCAGCTGTCGGTCTGGGGTCCAAGAGTTCCTCCTTGTTCATGTCAATTGTCTCTGCTGGTTTCACCAGTCCATTCTTTGCCAATTTGCTCATCGCTCCTCTCTCTATGTCACTGGGTTCCATGGGTTCAGTTCAGTGTTTAACTGGGTGTTTGCATCTGCTTCCATCAGTCACTGGATGAAGGCTCCAGGATGGTTATAGACATCAAGTTTATTACCAGGAATGGGCATTTAAGGAAGTCTCTCCACTATTGCTTTGCTTGCCAGTTGGTGTCATCCCTTTTGATCACTAGAGGTCTCACTGGTGCCAGATCTTTCTTCAAACCTGTAACTCCCTCTATTATGGTATTTCTCATCCTGTTCTCCTCCTATTCTATCCCCCACTCAACTTTCTTGTTCCCCCATGACCTACTCTCGCCTCTTCTTCTTTCCCTCTCTTCTTCCCAGCTCCCACTTCCCCCCACCTCCCGACGTGTTCCAAATCTGTTCAGGAGATCTTGCCTCATTCCTTTTCTCTGGGGTACCATGCATATCTCTCTTAGGTTCTTTCCTGTTTCCCAGACTCTTCTCTGTCAGTGGAATTGCAGACTGGCACTATCCTGATCCATGTCTAAAATCCATGTATGAGTGAGTACAGACTATATTTGTCTTTTTATGACTGGGTTACCTCACTCACGATGGTTTCTTCTAGTGCCATCCATTTGCCTGCAAATTTCAAGATTCCATTTTTTTCTGCTGAGTATTACTCCATTGTGTAAATGTACCATATTTTCTCTATCCACTCTTCAGTTTAGGGGCATCTAGGTTGCTTCCAGGTTCTGACTATTACAAATAATGCTGCTATGAACATAGTGGGACAGATATTCTTGTTGTATGAATTTGCATCTTTTGGGTATATTCCTAAGAGTAGAATTTCTGGGTTTTGTGGTAGATTGATTCCCATTTTCCTGAGGAATTTACATACTGATTTCCAAAGTGGGTGTATGAGGTGGCACTCCCACCAGCAGTGGAGGATTGTTCCCTCTCTCCACACCCTCTCCAGCATAAATTGTATTCAGTGTTTTTGATTTTAGTCATTCTGACAGGAATCAGATGGTAATTCAGAGCTGTTTTGATCTTCATTTCCCTGATGGCTAAAGATGTTGAGCACTTTCTCAAGTGTCCCTCAGCCATTTTAGACTCCCCTATTGAGAATTCTCTATTTAGTTCTGTACCCTACTTTTTAATTGGATCCTTTGGTGTTTTGGAGACTTGCTTCTTGAGTTCTTTATAAATTTTGTAGATCATCTCTCTGTCAGATGTGGGGTTAGTTAATATCTTTTTCCATTCTGTGGACTTCCTTTAGGTCTTCTTGACTGTGTCCTTTGCCTTACAGAAGCTTCTTAGTTTCAGGAGATCCCATTTATTAATTGTCGATCTCAGTGTTTGTGCTACTGGTGATATGCTCAGGAAGTAGTCTCCTGTACCAATTCGTTGAAGAGAATTAAGGGATAACAGGAAGATACCTGAACATAATAAAAGCAATATACAGTAAACCAACAGCTAACATCAAATTAATAGAGAGAAACTCAACACAATTCTTCTAAAATCAGGAACAAGACAAGACTGTCCATTCTCACAATATCCCTTCAATATTGTATTTTAAGTTCTAGCTAGAACAATAAAACAACAAAAGGAGATCAAGAGATCAAGGGGATACGAATAGGAAAAGAAGAAGTCAAGCTTTCACTATTTGCAAATGATATGATAGTTTATATAAGTGACCCGAAAATCTGCAAGGGAACTCCTAGAGCTAATAAACACCTTCAGCAAATTTGCCGGATACAAGGTTAACTAAAAAAATCAGTGGCCCTATTATATACAGATGATAAAGTGGCTGAGAAAGAAATAAGAGAAACATCACCCTTTACAATAGCCATAAACAGCATCAAATATCTGGGAATAAGGTTAACCAAAGAAGTGAAAGACCTATATATATCAAGAACTTTGAGTCTCTAAATAAAGAAATCAAAGAGGATACCAGAAAATGGAACGATCTCTCATTCTCTTGGATTGGTAGGATCAACATAATAAAAATGGCAATCTTGCCAAAAGCAATCTACAGATTCAATGCAATCCCTATAAAAATTCCAGCAAAATTCTTCACAGACCTTGAAAGAACAATAATCAACTTTATATGGAAAAACAGAAGACCCAGGATAGGCAAAAGAACCCTATACAATAAAGGAACTTCAGGATGCATCACCATACCTGACTTCAAGCTCTATTACAGAGCTATAGTCCTGAAAAAACTTGGTATTGACACAAAAATAGACAGGTAGACCAATGGAATCGAACTAAAAATCCTGATTTTAACCCACACACCTATGAACACTTGATTTTTGACAAAAAGCTAAAATTATTCAATGGAAAAAAGAAAGCATCTTCAACAAATGGGGCTGGCATAGCTGGATATTGGCATGCAGAAGACTGTAGATAGATCCATGTCTATTGCCTTGCACAAAACTTAAGTCCAAATGAATCAAAGATTTCATCACATATCTAACCACACTGAAACTCCAAGGGCAATTTTTTAAGAGCTGCAGTAGCATCAATAACTTAAGTATAATAGAAACAAAGGAGGTATGATGCAACCCCATAAAAATATTTTGTGACTTTGTTTTCTTCTTTAGGCCATGGAGAAGTGTAAGGATGCAGGACTGACCAAGTCTATCGGAGTGTGTAACTTTAACCGTAGGCAACTGGAGAAAATCCTGAACAAACCAGGTCTCAAGTACAAGCCTGTGTGCAATCAGGTGGGAATCATCAGCCTCTTCTCCTTGTCCATTCCTTTGTTTCCCTTCTTACCACAGGCTGGTAGGTACTCTTTTCACATTAATCTCCACTTTGTGCAACATCAGAAGCTAGCAGCAGATTGTTTATGAATAGGATATTTATGACACCTGATTGTGTTTTACTCTCTGAAGTCTTAGTGGAAAATATGGGCTCATCTATTTCTTAGTAGATTTTATAGTGATATGAATGATGCAAGGAGCCACTGATCTCACTCTGAAGTAAACTTTACCATCTACTTGACATAATAAGAATGAACAGTGATTAATAGGGGAAGGTTGTAAGGAATTGTGCTTAATATCACTGCAAAAGATTGAGACGTTCAGGAAACAAGGATTCTGTGTAAGTTAACAAATGATGCTTGTCTGTATTTCTTTGAAGTTCATATGCTATTCTGATTATGGCACAAGTCTTAGCTACATTAAGAATTACAGCAGACTACAATTCTTATCCAGGTTAGAGGGAGGACATTTATTATTTATTGTGATATTACTTGGATAAGTAAGATGAGTACTCAGAGAGTTTGAACACTACTTCAGTTGACTTTGTTCCTGAACATATTTCAATTTCTTCTCCTGGTTTGTGGAACCAAAATGTGAAGAACTTCCTTATATCTGTGGCTCCATTCTCTCAGGTATTTATAAGACCTTGCAGTAAACAAGTAAAAGTCATGTGTAGAAAGTGGGGTTGTATGCTATTTATATACTTGTTATAAAAGGACCAAATCACTAGACATTAAAATATTAAAATAAGAAAAAGATGTGATAAAATATTTCACGTAGTTTAATGATTACTTTAAGAAATGTTAATGGATGGTAGAGACCTATATTTCTTCAACTATGTCCAACATTGTTGATATTTTGCAGGACTGGAAATTGTAGTAACATGTATGTGATTACATATTAATATATGTGAGCAATATGATGCTAAATCTTTCAAAGTTAGATGCATGTACTACTATCAAACCCTAATGATTTCATAAACATCTCTCAGGAATGAAGATACATATCCTTTGATGGTTAGATTTGCATTATGTGAACTGAGCTTATAGCATTCCATTCTATATATTTTCTTTTCTTGTGTATGTGCTTATGGTGTACATAGTGTGGGCAGATGTATATGTGGAGGTCTAAGACTGATGTTAGAATTCTTCCTCTACTTCTTGTTCTTTGAAGCATGGGCTCTCATTCAAACCCATGCTGAATAAGGCTACTCTTCCTAGCTGGGTTGCTTCTTGGATTCTGTGTCTCTGTCATCTAACCTTAGAAATATGGGCAGAGCAGTCTTACATCACAAATTTCTGAGTTCTTGGGGTCTCAACTATAAGCCTCTTCTTTGTATAGCAATTGCTTTAACCACTGAGTCATCTCTTCAGTTCTCATGCTGCTATGAATTATCATTGCAAAGTAAGATTTCCCTGTTCTTCCAAATCATCTTAGTTCTTCTCTCATCAAGGTAAAATTGTATTTCACCCATCTTTCCTAAAGAGTTTTCCAGCTCTTTTATACTCTCATATTGACCAGTGTTTTTACAAATGACATCTAGGAAGAATAAATACTGGATTGATTTAGAATTTGTGTTTTAACCTGTAGACTTTATAGTTGATGATTTATTGCACTATTTCATAGTCAAAATTTAATAAGTCCATATTTTTTCCACATTTAAACTCTGTCATGAGTCTGCATAGAGGAATGTGTATTTGCACATAGGATTTTGTGAAAAGGTTGGTATATCTCAAATTGGTTATTTTTTAAGTGTTTTCAGGAACATAAGACAGTAGATTTTTTTAAATAGAAATGTGGAGAATTGAATGGAAATTAAGGGAACTAGGGCGTAATGGGGTTGAGAATGAATAGGGTTAACGTATAAGATGTAATTATATAAGCATGTCTTAATGTAGCTTATTAGTGCAATAAATGTATCAATGAAACATACATAATGGGGCCAGTGAGATTGATTAGTGATTAAATGCATTTGCTACCTGAAAACCTGATTTTGATTATTCACATGGGAGAAGAGCTGACTCACCCAAGTTGTCCTAGAACCTTCACAAGCATGCTGTCGTGTATGCACATGTGCACTTGAACACACACACACACACACACACACACACACACACACACACAGAGTAACTCAATCTCCCAAATTCTGCAATTAGAGTGATGATCCAATCCAGTATTAAGCACATAAACACTGTATTTTTTCTTTTTAAAATTTACCTATGTTCCTTGGTTACAGATCCACAATTATCATTTATTATTCCTTTCACCATCTACACACAAACCCCTTGTACTTTCCAGGAACATCCATTTTCCTGTTTCCTGTTTCTTGACCCACTGTAATAAATCAACATTTCTTGCAGCAGAATGGGTATGACATTATTTACTTAAGGATTAGTACTGGTCTAGTCAATTCAGACTTTATTACACAGATTTTCCTAATTTAGCTTATTGTATTTTAATACTTTTCTTTATATAAATGTGGGATTTCATGTAATATGGTATCATCATTCATCTTCAGGTAGAATGCCATCCTTATCTCAACCAAATTAAACTTCTGGATTTCTGCAAGTCTAACGACATTGTGCTGGTTGCATATGGGGTTCTGGGAACACAACGATACACAGGATGGTAATGTGGTCATTAAAAATTAAAGATAAATTAACAATTGTTGTTGACATACCTTTAGTTCCATGATTCCATGTTCATACTCATGTGATCTGGAAGCAGAGATAATTTGCATTTTGGATAGACTGACAAAAGATATTGGTGTTACTGGTCCAGGAACACACTTGGGAACCACCATTGTTTGTGCCACATTCCTGTACATTTGACACTTCTTTATATGCTATAGATTGAGGAATTTAGCCTCCCTATTTCTCATCTCAGGGTGGACCAGAACTCCCCTGTTCTCTTGGATGAACCAGTTCTTCATCGATTGGCAAAAAAATACAGTCAGACTCCAGCCTTGATCGCACTTCGCTACCAGTTGCAGCGTGGGATTGTGGCCCTCCACAGCACTCTCAAGGAAAAGCACATCAAAGAAAACACACAGGTGATGAGTGAGACTTGGCTTTCAAAGTTGTTCATACTGACTCATCCTATGTACTTCTTTTGCTACTCAGGATCCTGTATCAACCTAGTCCTTTTATCTTGCTTTCCCATGCTTTTGTTTTACATTTGAAGGGTTTGTCTTTTCCTGTAAGATCACAATAGTTTTTGTTGCAGTATAGAACTAAATCATGTTGAAGACAAATTTTTGGTCTCGGCATTACATTAGCAATGTGCATAGTAAGGTTCAGTGAATGGAATGATACTTTTTCTTTTAAAATGAGGTACCTGGACTAGATACCTAGTAATTATAGGCCTTCAAATTATTTGTGTTCTATTTTGCATTTTCCTGCACACACAATTATTACCTCTTTAAATTTAATTTCCAGTTGTTTCTTCAAACCCTGTAGCAAGTAACTTTCTTTTCAAATCAGAGGATATCTGTTTATTTATTTTACCCAAAATAGTTACATGAGTTAAAGAAGCAACCTATTGCCATGTATGGGCTCCATACACAAGACAATTATTTAACTAATTGTCCTGTGAGTAGAATATTTTGCCTGTCTCATCTGACCTCAGATAGGTTTATCTCCTCTTGTTCTGCTACTGTCATGTCTTCTCCAATATGAGTTTGCATTGTTTGCAGACGAGCCTGTCTTATTTCCCCATAGTTCCACAGCCTCTTTCTATGTAGTTCTTTTATCTCTTCTTAATAGTTCTCAGTTCTTCTTCTATCCAGTCTTGGCTTAACTTTACTATTTTGCACAATTCCAAATTAGTTTATAACTTCTCAGAAAGGGCTTTCATGTATGATTATGTTCTAATTTAGATCAGGAATATCATTACTTCTGGCATATTCAACTGACAAAGTACACTACATAAGATCAGGGAAGTATCAAGATATGTGGAAAAAGCTCTTCTATATCCTAGTGCAAATGGCTTTAAATTCACAAAATAGAGTGGACACAGGAAGACATGATGATGGGGGAAGTCCTTCTGTGTATATGTTGATGAATAAAGCACGGTTGGCCAGTAGGGAAGCAAGATAAGTGGAACTAGGAGTCTAGGAGGATTCTGGGAAATGTAGTGAAGAGAGTCATCACCATGTGATCCCGGGGAAAAAAGGACAGGTCAGACTGTCGTCCTTGGAAAGATAAGTCTTTACAGAAATATATGTTAGTAATTATGGTTAGTAATTAAGTCAGAACTAGCCACTAAGAAACCATAGCAAATGACCAACAGCTTCATAATAAATATAGTGTCTCATGTGTTATTTTGGGGCTGAGTGGTGATGGGACCCACATGGATGGTGGGAAGAGTACACGTTACAACACGAAGTGGATATTCTTATATTCTTTTATAATTTTTGTAGATATTAATTAAAATATAATTACACCACTTTCCTCTTCCCTTTACCTTTCTCCATCTCCTTCTAAGTTCCCTATCTCTAACTACTCCCATGCCCATCCATCATCAAATTGATAGGTCCTTATTTCTCAATTATTATTTTTACAAATATCTATCTGTATGTGTTTGTAGGCACCATTGTATAAGTTAAACAGCGGGGTCAGTTTTTTGTTGATGGTGCATGTATGGCTTCAGGGCTGACCACTTTGTATTGAGCAATCAATTAGGAGCATCACCCCTGGAAGAGGCTCCCTCTTCCTCTGGCATTATTATGTTCTTATTGTTAGTCTACTAACTATGCTTTTGTGTTCTGGAAATGTATTGGTCTCAACTTCTGAAGTGAATTTTGGAGCTTTTTCTAAAAACCTCTACTTTTCAAATTTTCATTAAGTATTAAACATGAACAGGAATTTCTTCCCTTTACAATTCACATTCTTTATGACTTTCTTTTGTGGTAGACTAGTGTTAAGCATTGCTGTGTGGAACAAACTTATATTCTCTATTACTTTGAAAATGTCATTCTCTGTTCTGTACTTCATTTTTATGTTCCACCTGAGTTGCTCTTTTAAGATTTCAAGTGTCAACCAAAACATATTTACAATTTTGCTCTTACACACAGCTTGGTAGTATTAGGTGTTTGTCATTTTATATTTCCGTAATTCCTTTCTTTTTATTTAAATTACAGACAAGTTTGTTTTACATGTCAATTTCAGTTCCCTCTCTGTCCTCTCTTCCACTGCCCCCGCAGACCCCCCATCTCATCCCCTTTCTGCTCCCCAGGGAGGGTGAGGCCTTCCATGGGGGATCTTCAAAGTCTGTCATATCATTTGGAGCAGTGCCTAGGCCCTTGCCTGTGTGTCTAGGCTGAGAAAGTATCCCTCTATGAGGAATGGGCTCGCAAAGTTCATTTTTATACTAGGGATAGATACTGATGCACTACTAGTGGCCCCATAGTTTAACCAGGCCTCCTAACTGTCAGCCATGATCAGTTCTATGCTGTTTTCCCAGCTATCAGTCTGTGGTCCATGAGCTCCCCTTTGTTCAGGTGAGCTGTTTCTGTGTGCTTCTCCAGCCTGGTCTTGACCCCTTTGTTCATCACTCCTCCCTCTCTGCAACTGGATTGCAGGAGTTCAGCTCGGTGTTTAGCAGTGGGTGTTTCCTTCTGCTTCCATCAGCTACTGGATGAAGGCTCTAGGATGGCATATAAGTTAGTTGTCAATCTCATTATCAGGGAAGGGCATTTAAGGGAGCCTTTCCACTATTGCTTAGATTGTTAGTTGTGGTCATCCTTGTGGACCTCTATACATTTTCCTGTGCCAGATTTCTCTTTTAACCTATAATGGCTCTATTATGGTATCTCTTTTCTTGCTCTCTATTCTTCCCGTGACTCAATCTCCCTGATCCCTCATGTCCTCCTCTCCCCTCCTCTTCTTCCCTTCTCTTTCTTCTAATTCCCTCTCTCCTCCCCCAATGCTCCCAATTTGCTTAGGATTTGTTGTCACTTTTATCTTCTCTGGGGGACCATATATGTCTCTCTTAGGGTCCTCCTTGTTTCCTAGCTTCTCTGGTGGTATGGATTGTAGGATGTTAATCCTTTGCTCTATGCCTAGAATCCATATATGAGTGAGTACCTACCATGTTTGTCTTTTTGTGACCGAACTCCCTCACTCAGAATGGTTTCTTTTAGGAGTTTTTCCACATTTTCAATGGAGGTTTTATTTTTAATTTGTAATAAATACCTGCATACATAGGAGAGTTCAGCTATGCAATTGCTTCCATGAGCTTTGCTGTTCCATTGTGGTGTTACTGAAAAGTAAGAGAAAAAGTGGGAACTTGAAACATCTAGAGCAGTTAAGTTTCATGTGCATTTTAGATCTAGGAATTTTCTGGAGTTTTCGTGTGAGTTTGTTTTTGTTGGTAGTTTTGGATTTCCTGATAGTAGTTTACTTTGAGGTTGTCATTTTTGAAGTGGGTTGACCTTAAGCTGGCAATGTAGTTGAAGATTATCAGGGACTTCTAAACTTTTAGCTATTTACAATCCAAGTGGTGGGATTATAGAAAAGAGTCATCACACCAGGCTTTCCTTGGTTATTTATGGTTTTTCTGTAATAAAAGTTTAGAATTCACCTGATAACTTCCAACCAGAGTGTAGGTTTGCATTTGATATCACATCTGTTTACTATTTTAGAGACTATGAGTTGTGGCAGTATTGTGCTGTCCACTATGATAATTTTATTGGAATTTCCTGTTATGTAGATGATGCCTCACATACTACATTAACTTTAATTATTTACATAATAAGTATTTTTGTGTCTATTCTGTCTCATTTATACATAAAAACACTAAGTTGTGTAATTTTCTTGATATCACCTTTTTGTTTTAATAACTTTCAATTATTCAGGTGATTTTGCATTCATGTATGTCAATTAAATGTCTAAGTTTCTGTATGCTCAATATTCATTCATTGTTTCTTGTTATTGATTTTCCTATCAAGACCAGTGATTTATGGGTCAATTTGTTTCAATTTGTTAATAATCATAGATCATTCTGTTGATTATGGTGCTCAAACTGCATTAAAGATGACTTCCTGAAGATCAGTTCTTAATCCATTTTTATAACACCATTATTATTAGTAGAGTGCCTATTTAAGTAATGTTCCAATTTAAAGGTTGGCAAACATGCTGTCTAAACATGCAAAAATGTTTCTTATCTGTGTGGTAGGTTTTTGAATTCAAGTTGACTTCAGAGGATATGAAAGTCCTTGATGGCCTGAATAGAAATCTGCGATATCTGCCTGCAACCATGTAAGTAACTTTGGCAACATGTTTTACTCCATTTATTTTTAGGGGCAATATTTTAAATGTTATCTCAATACAATAAATATAAAGACAACAGAGGCAATCTGAGCTGAGGACTATGAAAAAGATTGACAGAGAGAGGGAGAGAGAGAGAGATGGGAGTGAGCAGGTCCCTTTTAATAAAAGATAGCATATTAAATAGGCACAGGTGCACCGGTGGACCTCTTAGTGGCCACAGCTGAACTCATATCTTGTCAAAACTCCAAAGGCAGGCCAGTATGAATGCCTACATATTAACAACCTGTAGATATGTACTGGGAACATTTTGAGGAGTCCATTGAAACATTTCCAATAACAATACCATGCTACCATGTCATTTTCCCCAGCACTTGTTTAAATTCAGATTCTATGAAATATATGACCACAAACCTTGCAGTCTATGTCATCGCCTGCATATGAAATTGTTCACTGTATTCAGGAAACAATGAATTTTAATAGTTGTCAGGGCCCATAAAGATGGTTCCTCTTTATCTTGCCTCAAGGTCCAAGAGTTCTACAACTGTCCTTAATAAGTGAAAAGACTTAAAGGTCTAAGGCTTGGCTACTGCAGGGTGTTCCAGGCCTTTATAGATGTCTTATCTAAACATCAACAGACTTGGGCTCAGGCTGATAACAGGGTGTGGTTACCAAATGCTTAGAGGATTAGGGGAAGAAAGGGTGTTTGCTCCTTATATATGATAATAGAAGTCTACTGCCATGCCCCCCTTTTTGTTGGGGTACTTAAGAATATTGAAGAATAAACTTGGGGGTTCAGTATTCACTGGATTACTGGATTGCCCTCCTCTTTTATGTTCTTTAACTTATAAATGACCAGCCTTTGACTTGTTTCTAGCCATATTTTTAACATGGGAAATATTTTTAATTTAAATTAGAAAAAAAGCTTATTTTTCATGTCAGTCCCAGTTCCTTCCCCCCCCCTCTCCTCCCCTGACCTTCACCCACCATCTATCCCATCGTCTTTCTGCTCCTCAGGGAGGGTGAGGCCTTCCCTGGGGGTTCTTCAAAGTCTGTCATATCATTTTTCTTTTTCTTAGGCATCTTTACCTGCCCTTTCTCAATCCACACTCCCCCTCTCAACTACAAACAGGGCAAGTCGGTTGGCTCTGACTGAAGCTTACAAAGACAGTTTCCCACAAATAGTTTGAAAACATTCATGTCTTTCTGATGTACTTTTGTTTAGAAACTAAATTTTCTAGTTTGAGAACTGCTGTCATGATGTGTGTAATCATACATTTGGCACTGATTTTCTAAATATAAAGAGGTAAATATAGAGAACTGAAAAATTATAGAGAAAAATGTGTAAGGCTTAAGGAAATGCTGAAACATGCCTTAGTCAGTAAAACACTTGACTTGAAAGTGTGAAGACCCGAGTTTGACATTGAGAAATCTGGGTGCAGTAGTGTGCTCTTGTAATTCAAGTGTTCTGGAGGAAAAAACATGCAAATCCCTGGGGTTTGCTGTCTAGTCATCCTATGCTAACTGAGTGGTACCATGTCAATGAGAGACTGTCTCAAAAGATGTCAATGCATTTTTGAGAATTACTTCTAAGGGTTTCTTATGGCCCCTATATTCATGTGCATACTTGTATGTATGCATATGCATCTACAATCCCAAATAAAGCCTTACACACATATACAGGGATACACGCATATGCATTTAAGCAAATGGAATATTATAAAGAAACATTTCCATTGCTGTAGAGAACTTATAGCCCAAAGAAACCTTGTTTTTTACTCTACATACAAGGCTATGGAATTTGACAAGATGCACTATAAATGAGGAAATTAAGTAAAATATATTCTCACTTCCCATGGAAAAATAATTCAAGGTGAAAAATGTGATATTTTGTGAAAATTATAAACAAAACAAAAAACTGAATGCAATAAAAATTTCTAGATATCATTCTTAATAGCATACAGAGAATGAATAAGGTAGTACATATTATATATAGGCAGAACTTTTATTCATATTTAATTTATTAATATTTTTATTCTCTTTGATGAGTAATCTTTTAAGTCTTTATAACTTTTATGACTATTTTTATGGTGATCTATAGTTATATCCTTGAATGTGAGATTTTCTCTTTAACAAATATTGCTTCTATTGTTGAATCATAACCACTATATTTTATTTGGCAGGATGCTAATGAATTATTGATTAATTTTGAAATTGGAATTAAATATAATCATTGTGAACATTCCATTTAAGTCAATATTTCTGAAACTCAAATATCAAATTACACATCCACTCAATGCACATAAGTTGGATAATATATATTCCAAAATACTGGTACATACATAATATTGCTATTATTCCATCTAATTTTTCTATATCATAATTAAATTTAGAGAATTTTTAATTGGGAATTTAACTTACACATTTGTGTTTGATCATATGGATCACTATGACAATGAAATTTGTTTTTATTTGACTGAAAGGATTTTTTTCATTTATTTTGCTTTTATTGAAAATGGATTCTTTTCTCATACACTGTATCCTGATCATAGTTTCCCTCCCTCTATTCATCCCAGTTCTTCCCTACCTTCCTTGCCCTCTGGATCCACTCTCTTTCTATATTTCATGTTTCTAAGAGAAAGCAGCCAAACATAAAATATAATAAGATAAAGCAAAAACCATCACATCAAGGCTGGACAAGACAGTCCTACAGAAAGAGAAGAGCCTCAAGAGCAGGAACAAGAATCAAAGACACATGCATTCACATACTCAGAAACCCCATAAAATATGGAGCTGAAAGAGTCAGATACATTAGTGATCTTTGTATATTCCTCAGAAACAACGATAGCCTAAGACATAATAAAGACAAGTGCAATTTTAAAAAGAAAAAAATTAAATATTAGTTCGATTTTTATCTAGATCTCCCCAAATATTTTTAAATCGTTACATTTATTTACTCATATAAATGTTTGGGAGTGGGTACATGTGATGGAGATCAGGTGACTGTTTGCCTCCATAGTTTCTTTCTTTCTATTATATAGGTCCCAAGGATGGAACATAGATTATCAGTTGGTAGCTAGTGTCTTACCCATCTAAACCACCTCACTGTCCCTCAACTTCTAATTGTAGACTATGTAACTTGCTTTCTTCTTTTCTGAAACTTAGCAAAGTATTTCTTTCCTAGAGATTTTTTTGTCATAATTTCTTTATTGACTCTTTGGAAATATTACAACATGCACCACAATTCCACTCACCTCCCAGGAACGTCATATTTTCCCTTCACCTCTGCAGTGCCTCCAAACAAATATGAAACATAGCAAGCTAGCAAACAAGCAAACAGAAAGAAAAAAGCAAAGAAAACCCAAAGAACCTCTTCACTTCTCTGTCATTCCCACCACTCTGTTTTAGGGTTTTATTGCTGTGAACAGACACCATAACTTCAGCAATTCTTATAAAGAAAACATTTAATCGGAGTATGGTGTCTTGCTTACATCAATTATTATTACATCCGTAGTGTAGGGGCATGGAAGCAGACATGGTACTGGAAGTGCTATATCTTGCAGGCAACAAGAAGTCAACTGTGACACTGGGTAGTATCCTGAGCATAGGAAACCTCAAATCCTGCCCACACAGTAATACACTTCCTTAAGAACATCATACCTAGTCAAACAAAGCTATACCTCCTAATAGTACCAATCCCTATGAGATTATGGGGGCAATTACATTCAAACTACCACATTCCACTCCCTGGATCCTATAAGTTTGTAACAGTATCATAATGCAAAATTTATTTAGTCCAACTTCAAAAGTTCCCATAGTGTATCACAGATTCAACAATGTTTTTAAGACCAAAGTTCAAGTTCTATTCAGAGATTCATGCAATCTTTTAACAGTAATCATCTGTAAAAATCAAAATCAAAAATCAAATCACATTTTCCCAATACATAAGGGCACAGGATATACATTAACATTCCAAAATTCAGAGAAGGGAGCATAATAAGGAAATACTGGACCAAAGCAAGAACAAACAGGTGGCAAACTCCAAAATCTCCTACATATCTAGTGTTGAAACATTCCTTCCATCTCCAAATCCATTCAGCTTTGTTGACTGAAATGTACTTCTTTTTCAAAGGCTAGTGCCACTTCTGGTTAGCAGCTCTCCTCGGCAGGTATTGCATGATTCTGGTATCTCTAACATCTTGGGTTCGGAAGGAAATCAAAGCTTCAACTTCACAGCTTCACATAATGACTCCTGAACTAAGCCTCCATTCAGGGACATCACTGACACATTTCTGGCCTCAGCAGCTTTGTTCCATAACTCCTTTTTTCTATCCTTAAGTCTAAACCCAGAACCATGTGGCCAAAGCTGCCATGTTCTGCTGCTTGATGGTGCTGGAATTTGAGCCCCTCATTCAATTAAGTCTTTACCAGCTCTCTGTCCTCTGTCTAAGCTTTGACTATCCTGAAACATGCTGTATAGATTAGGCTGATCTCAAACTCAGAGACCCAACAGCCTCTGCCTTTTCCAGTGCTGAGATTAATGATGTGCTTTACCATACCAGTACTAAAAGTTTCTCTAGTTCCTTTTCACAAGTTAGAAATTTAGCTATGTGGGATTTTGCCCTGAGGTCACCAGTTCCTTTTTTCCTTTTCTTAATCTATTTGTCTCCTTAAACACAGGACTTTTTTCCATTTTACTTTTGGTGCTCCTTTTCTCTTCAAAATATCATTCTGTATTTTTCCATATACTTCTTGGTCCTTTTCTTTATAAATCTTTATCAGAGTTACCACTAATATCCACATGACAGAGTCTATACTATGCTGATTTTATATTTCTTCTGTCAATGAAATTAATCCAAAACTCTTCCTCAGGCAGACTTTCCAGAAAAGGGCAAGAAGCAACCACTTTCTTCACCAAAATATCATAAGACCAGTCTCTAGCCCACATACTATCATTCTTCTTCTCTGAAACCTCTTGATCCCCAGAGTTCATCAAATCACTTTTATCACCACTCTCTCCTATGATCCCATGAGTATGGCCCATTGTGCAGCACATGAAGCATCCCCCTGCTTTTCTAATCCTAACTCCTAATGTCCATATCACTGCAACAAAGAAATCATGGTCCAGGCTATCAGAGCAATACCCCACTTCTGTTATAAACATAGGGATTTTTATTGGTATAAAGAGACAACATGACCATGGCTGATGTGGGAGGTCAATGTAATATGGAATTTATTTATTTACATACAAGCTGAGAGAATGGAAAGCGAGGCAGGCTTCCAGAGGAGAAGAGAGCAAGAGAATACTTTTTCTTTCCTTAAATAGCCCACTTGTCTAATCTTGTTATCTCTGCCCCTTTTGGGTCGATAGCTTTGTGGGGCTCACCCCTACACATGGCAATTCTTTAAAGAAAGTTGGGCCTCACTTACAGTTTTAGAGGTTTAGTTCTGTATCATCATTGCAGTGCCCGCGCCACAAGCAACTCCAAGGTATCAGGAAAAGAAAGACCAGATGTCCAGCTGTTTGTACTAAGAAGTGTCTTTATTTTGCAAGTGCTAAGAGGTCTCTTTCTTATAGGAGGAGACAGTCTTATATATTAAAACACAGTAGAAAGACCCCAGGTGGAAGAGAGCATGTTTTTCTCGTGCTAGATGTTGATGTCAGTGGAGCAAGGTGGGGACAGTAAGCCAGGACTAGAAAACAGGATGCACCTGTGGCTATCAGCTGACCAGCAACTCAGAGACCCTGTGGGGGCTAGGGCCCAAAAATTATGACAGGAGCATTATGGCATATAGACAGATGAAGTTCTGAAGCTGAAAGTGGTACATCTTGCAGGCAAAAGGAAGTTGATTTTGACATGGAGAGATATTCTGAGCATAGAAAACCTCAAAACCTGATTTTACTTTGTTTTATTTTGTTTTGTTTTTCGAGAAAGAGTTTCTCTATAGCTTTGGAAGCTGTCCTGGAACTCTCTCAGTAGACCAGGCTGGCATTGAACTCAGAGATCTGCATGCCTGTTTCTAACTCCTAACACTGCCTCTGACTCCCAAGGGCTGGGATTAAAGGCGAGTGCCACCACCAGCCCCTGGGTTTTACTGTTTATCAGTTATATATGCACAGGATAAAGAATCATAGAGTTCTTTAAGGTTTGTTATTTAAAAAAACAGGGCTTGCCTACTGGGCATAAAGTCCAAGATCCAATTCCCAACGCTGGAAAAAAATGAAAAAAATCAGCCAACCACCCAGTGTGTTGGTTAGTTTTTATCAACGTGACACCAACTAGAGTCACTTGGGAAGAGGGAACCTCTAATGAGGAATTGTCTCCATCAGATTGGCTGGTAGACATATCATTGGAGCATTTTCTTGATTAAAGATTGGTGTGGGTGAGCCCAGCCTACTGTGGGTGGTACTATCTCTGGGCAGGTAGTCTTGGGTTGTATCAAAAAGGCAACTAAGCAATCCATGGAGAACAAGCCAGTAAGCAGCACTCATCCAAGCCTCATCTTCAGTTCTTGCCTTCAGATTCTGCCTTGAGTTCCTGCCTTGGCTTCCTGCAATGATTGACTATAACCTAAGAATCAATAAACCCTTTCTTCCCCCCCCCAAAAAAAAAGAAAACCTCAAAACCTACCCACACAATGGCATTGTTGGAAGAACAATGCCACACCCATTCCAATAAAACCATACCTCTTAATTGTGCCACTCCCTATGAGAATATGGGGGCCAACTGCATTCAAACTATTACAATCTCCAACCATGAGATGGCATTAGCAGCAATGTGTCACATAGTAGACCCCCTTGTTCAATTAGCTTTACTAGCAAAAGTTCACTGAAAAGAGTCTTTGGTCTGGTTCAAGACTGATTTCTGACACATCATCCTCCCTGGATCCTCACTGAAACTCCTCTGCAATATCCTCAAGCTTCCCTGAGTCAGGGAGATCCTATGCTGCCACAATGGTCTGGACTGAGCAGCTCAGCTGGCAACCAGACTCACAGCCAGGCATTGTCTTGGTCTATAGCAACATCCAACCCATCTAGAACGTACTGGAAATAATGAAGGGAATGGTTCTTTGGAACGAGTCTGCATGATCTTCTTGAAAAAATGTAATACAAAGGGCTAGATATTTGTTTACTTAAAAATATTCTTGCTTATACATAATCTAAGTTCAATCATGTAGTTTTTGTCTACATGTATATCTGTGCACCACATGCATCTCTGGAGCCATATAAGCTAGAGAAAGGCATAGGATTGCTTGGAACTGGAGTTATTTATGGTTTTGAGCCACCACATAGGTGCTGTGAATAGACTATGTGTCCTTTGGAAGAGCAGCCAGAATTTGCAATGGTGAAGTCATCTCTCTAGTCCCTCTTTGTTTTTGTTGATAGATACATGTTTGAGCATTTTATTCTTCACTTTCTATACATTGAGTACTGGGAAAGGAAGATAATCTGAATAATTTGTCTATTTTCTTTTCAAGTAGAAAGTAATGATTTGAAAGTAAGAATATTATATGCCTTAAAAAAGAAAGTTTTATACTTCCACACTAATATCAGCTTCATAGAAATCACTCCATTTAGAAAGAGAATGATGAAATGCATTATGGATTTTCTTTGTCTTTGCAGGTTTGAGGGCCACCCTAATTTTCCGTTTTCTGATGAATATTAACATGTGTGGATATCTATTGGAAGGTTTGCTGGTGGGAGACTGCCCATCCACTGATGTCTTGACTTGTCACTTCTACTCTGTAGCAATTCAGAACCTCCTGAAGCTACACTTTAGCTAAGACAGTAAAATAAAAGTAAGAAATCTGTCCCATCCTGAATCCAAATAAAAGACACATTCTCCAACAATTATCAGGGTCATATTATCTTAAAGTTTTATTTTACCATGATTAATGATGTTTTCAAATTTATCTGCCTACAAGTCTGTATTCATGGTGTGGTAGATGAAAAGTTATTGTATAGGCAGTTTTTCCATGAGAATATGTAGTGTTTTCATCTTTCGAGTAGGAATAGCTAATAGGCATTCATTAATCTATGTTTCTCTAGTTCACAGATATAAAATGTGTATCATCCGGTCAGAAAGGTGAGGCATAATTGAGAATGGTGAACAATAAATCCAGAGCTATATTAGGCCTTTGGACATAGAAGTTTCAAAGTTACAGAAAGGGATTTAGTACATGAGGGTTGTCAGAGTAGGGTGAGAAATGAATCAGCCTGCAATATTCATGAGATTCCAGTTACAAACAAAATATTCCTGGAGATATTTCTTAAACTAATAAATTTTAATTTTCTATAGATTTAATTATTTTATTTATTTTAATTTACATGCACTTCTATTTTGCTTGCATATATGTTTGTGTGGAGATGTTGGATACTCTGGAAGTCAGTTCCAGACACCTGTTAGCTGCTATGTGTTTGCTGAGAATTGAAAATGGTTCCTGTGGAGAAACAGCCAGTGTTTTTAACTGCTGAGCCATGTCTTTAGCACCTGTAAATTTAACTATCATTATAATAAGCACTTAGAAACCCATTTAAAAATTATCTACTTCCTTTTTTAAGATGCAGGCAACTTTACCTCACGATAAGCAAGAAAATGACAGTAATTTCAAAGCCTAATATCTAGGATACACTTTTCTGGATACTGTAGGTACTCACACACATACATGCATATCCCTATACATAGATAGACACATATTTAATAAGAATAATAAAATCACAGAGACAGATATTCGGGTTAAAGCTGCAGATCAGATAGGCAAAGGGGCTTGCCACTGGAGCTATCACTTCTCCCAATGCTGAGAACAAAGGGGAGATCAACCATACCTCAGATTGCACAGTTCCCCACCAAACCTTTGACTCACTGAGACTGCAATGAGCTCTTGTCTCATCCAACCTAATATTCCTCACTAGTGCTGGGATTAAAAGCATGAGATCACAAATGCTAAGATCACAAGTGTGTGAGCTCTGTTTTTCTTTTAAACTGGGTCAATTTTTTGTAGTTCAGAGTGGCCTTGAACTAATAGAGATCCATCTTTCTCAGTCTTCCAAGTGCTGGGATGAAAGGTGTGCACAACCACTGCCTGACCTCTATAGCTAACTAGTGTGGTTGCTAGGATTAAAGGTGTGTGCTACCAATGCCTAGCCTCTAGCTTTGCCCTCTGATCTTCAGGCAAGCTTTATTTGTTATATCATAAACCAAGTATCACCACACACATGTACACATAATTTGATAAAAGACAGAATCAGAACTTAGTATGTCAAACCAGTAGTCATCAAGAAAGCCAAACATGCCCCACCTCAATCAGAGGCCAAGTCCCCAGCAAACTTCAAGTCTGTTGAATGCCAAGTGATTATCCCCTCACTCCCTCATTACCCCCACCCCAATACCCCCACTCCTCCTCATCACTGTCTTCTAAGTCCCAAGGCCAGAGACATACTTCTTGAACAGAGGCCACCATAGCCATCATAAGTCCTGCCTTTGAGGGTAGTGGTGACACATACCCTTAGTCCCAGCACTTGGGAGGCAGAGGCAGGTGGATCTCTGTGAGTTCAAGACCAGCCCGGTCTACAAGAGTTAGTTCTAGGACATCCTCCCAAGCCACAGAGAAACCTTCTCTCGTAAAACCACCCCCACAAGAAAATAAGTCCTCCCTTTAATTTGGATGGAGACCATCTGCTCAACTACAGGGCACTTCAGCCAGACAAGAGAGGAAACAGACACCCAATGCAAGATATTTGATTGCACTGTGAAACCCAAGACTCTGTTAATAAATTCAATCTCAGATTAGGGGGGACAGAAATTAGTTATAGAGTATGGAGGAGCCAGGAAAATAGATTAGAGATTCACAAGAAGGACTATGGACAGACTTGGAATTTCATGGTCTTTTTGGTTTGGGATAGCTGGAGAAACACTTTCTTGGTGGATCTCTGGACAAAAAGGAAGGTCAGCTGGTTATTCTTCTGACTCTTTGAGCTAGCAGGTTCTCATCTCAAAATCTGATTCCCATGGCTTTATTATTAAAGACAATGGTAGACACTTAGTTAAAAATACATTTGGCAGTAGCAGCAGAGCCACTGGGAGAGGGAAGCAGAAATCCCATCAGGACGTGGTATGAGTGTTGACTGCAGAGATACAGGGCCACAGATGGTAGTAAACATATCAGGAGATTCAGGTGCAGTCACTATGCCCACTGAAAACCAAAAGAAACTAGAGAACAAAATACCCATTGATCAAAGACAAACTCAGAATTCAGAATCTTTATCTATAATCACCCCATTCCAGATTTCTGAATGCCAGTGCAAAAACAATGTCAATAACAGCCAGAGGAATATGTCACTACCAGAGCACAGCTATCCTATTACAGCAATGCCTGAATATTCCAAGACAGCTGAAGCATGAATGAATGACATTAATACCAACTTCATGGAGATAATAGAGATCCTTAAATAGGAATTAAGTAAGTTCCTTAAAGAATTAGAGGAGAGGACTAACAAAAGTAGGAGGAAATCAGTAAATCCATTAAAGAAAGCCAAGAGGGGAAAAAAATTAACAGCAAGCAAACAGTTTAAGGAAGTAAGACCTGTGAATGGAAATAGAAGCATAAAAGAAAACACACACTGAAGTAATGCTGGAAATGAAAAATCTAGATAAACAAATAGGAACTAAAGAATTAAACATCACCAACAAAATGCAAGAAAAGGAAGAGATAATCTCAAGTGTTGAAGATACAATAAAAGCAATAGACATATCGGTCAAGAAAATGTTGAAAAATTGTAAAAAACATCCAGGAAATCTGAGACACTATGAAAAGACCAAACATAAGAATAACAGGAATAGAAGATGAATCCTAGCTCAAAACCCAGAATATATTTTCAACAAAATCATAGAACAAAATTTGCTAACCTAAAGAAAGACATACTTATAAATGTACAAGAAGCTTACAGAACACCAAATAGATTAGAACAGAAAGTCTCCTTGCTTTTAAAAGAAACACTACTAAAGTTTAAACCACATATCAACCCTCACACACTGACAGTGACAGACACAAATACAATAAACATACATAACAAAAAATAACATAAGAAGCTGCAAGGGAAAAGGGTCAAGTAACATATAAAGGCATACCTACTATAATTACACACAAATTTTAATGGAGACTGTAAAAACCAGAATGGACTGGACAGGTATTTTGTAGACTGTAAGAGACAGCAGATACCAGCCCAGACTACCATACCAAGAAAAACTTTAAGTCACCATAGATGAAGAAAATAAGATGCTACATAATGAAGTCAATTTAAACACTCCCGATCTACTAATCTAGATCTATAGATAGCACTAGACAGAAAACTCCAACCTAACAACTATGCCAAGGAAATACAGGAAATTATTAATGATAGACCAGTAAAATGGAAAATGGAAGCAAACACACACACACACACACACACACACAATTACTACTAGTACTATTGCTGCTACTACTACTACTACTAGCAATGAAATAACAGGAATTAACAAACATTGGTAATTGATATCTCTCAATAGACTCAATTTCCCAATAAAAAGACACAGAGCCACAGAATGGATGAGAAAACAAGATCCATTCTTTTGCAGCATATAAGAAACACACAAAAATCATCAATAATAGACATTACCTCAGAGTAAAGAGTCACAAACAGATTTTCAAAGAAAATGGACCTAAGAAGCAAGCTGGTACCACTATTCTATTGTCAAACCAAATAGACTTCAAAGAAAAATTGATCAAAAGAGATGGGGAAGGACACTTCACACGCATCAAAGGAAAATCCCACCAAAATGGCATCTCAATTCTTAAGAGCTATGCCTTGAAAGTAAGGGTTCCCATGTTTTTAAAAGAAACATTACTAAAGCTTAAACCACATATCAACCCTCCCACACTGACAGTGACAGATACAAATACCCCACTTTCACCAACAGACAGGTCATCCAGATTAAAAAAAAAACTAAACAGAAATACTGAGCTAATAGACATTTTAAACAAAATGGAGTAACAGGTATCTACAGAACATTTTACCCAAACACAAAAGAATACACCTCAGCACCACATGAATCTTTCTCCAAAATTGACTATATACTCAGTCATAAAGCATATAAACAGATTGATCCTATTAGACCTGCATACTATTAGACCACCTGAGACTGTAGCTGACTTCAACAACAACAAAACTAATAGAAAGCTTACAAACTAATGGAAGCTGAGCAACTCTCTACTGCATGACTACTTGGGCAAGGCAGAAATAAAGAAAAAATAAATGCTTCCTATAACTCAATAAAAATGAATGCACAACATATCCAAACTTTGGAACACAATGAAAACAGGGTTAAGAGGAAAATTCATTGTACTAGGTGACTGCATAAACTAGATGGAGAAGAAACTGAAAGGTAAGTGATAAGCTCCCCATCGGAACTACACAGTCTCTAGGCCCTATGTCCTGGGGGAAAACCCAGTGCCCTTCCCCCACCCATCTTAGCTACACTAGCAGGTCAGCAAGAAAGACTCCTGCCGGTAGGCTACATCTACATCCCCCCCTCCCCAAGAACACTGTAACCTACAAATCATACTCTGCCTCCAACCCACCTATCCCTGGCAATCTCAGTGACTCCCTGGGAGACAGACATTTACTAGATGGAGAGAACTGACAGAGAGAACGGAGAGGATTAGGCCAAGAGGCAAAGACACTACCTGCACCAAGAGGAAAAAGAGATGGGTAGCCATCAGTATAAGAATATATTCAACAACTCAAAGAGCAATATGGCAATACCAGACCCTAATGGTACTACAACAGGAAAACCTGAATAGCCCAACACAGAAGAAGCAGAAGGAAATGACCTTAAAAATCACTTTGTCAAGATGTTGGAGGCCCTTGAAGAAGAGATGAAAAATTTCCTTAAGAAATGGAAGAAAAGACACAAAAAATTTAGAAAAAATAAAAATATCCCTTACAGAAAGCCAAGAATTCCAAGAGAAAAGGAACAAACAAGACTTGAAAATTGAAAGGGAGGCAATAAAGAATGCTAGAAATGGAAAATTGGGCAAATGAACAGGAGCTACAGATGCAAGCATAATCAACAGAATGCAAGAGATGAAAGAGAGAATCTCAGGTGTTGAAGATACACCAGAGGAAATAGATTTATCAGTCAAAGAAACATTAATACCAACAAAGTCATAACATAAAATGTCCAGGAAATATGGGACACCATGAAAAGACCAAAACTAAGAATAATAGGGATAGAAGAAAGAGAAGAATACAAGCTCAAGACACAGACAATATATTCAACAAAATCATAGAAGAAAACGTCCCCAATCTAAAGAAGGAAATGCCTATGAAGATACAAGAAGCTTACAGAAAGCCAAATAGACTAAAAAAAAAGTTTTCTCACCACATAATAATCAAAGCATAAAATATACAAAATAAAGAAAGAATATTAAGAGTTGAAAAGGAAAAAGGGTCAAGTAATACATAAAGGTAGACCCATCAGAATAACAGCTGCATTCTCAATGCAGACTCTCCAAGTCAGAAGGTCCTAGACAGATATTATACAGACTATTATAGAGACCATAGATGTTAACCCAGATGACTATATCCAGCAAAGCTTTCAATTATCATAGATGGAAAAAACAAGATATTCCATGAGAAAGCCAGATTTGAACAATACCTAACCACAAATCCAGCCCTACAGAAATCACTAGAAAGAAAACTCCAACCCAAGGAGGTTAGGAGTACCCAGTAAAGCACAGGTAAAAAATAATCTCACATCATCAGGTCTGAAGAAGAGAAACACACACACCACAACCACCACTACCACCAAAAAATAACAGGAATCAACAATTACTGGTCATTGATATCCCATAATGTCAATGGATTCAACTTGTGTATAAAAAAATCACAGGCTAACAGAATAGATACTAAAACAGGATTTATCCTTCTGCCACAGGCAAGAAACCCAACTCAACTCCGAAGACAGACATTTCCTCGGAGTAATGGGTTGGGAAAAGACTTTTCATGCAAATGAACCTAAGAAGCAAGACCTCAAACTAAAGGCAATCAAAAAAGATGATGAAGGACATTTCATATTCATCACAGGAAAACCCCATCAAGAAAAAGTCTCAATTCTGAACACATATGCCCCAAATACATGGGCACCCACATTCATAAAAGAAGCATAACTAAAAGTTAGACTGCACAACAAATCACACTCACTAACAGTGGGAGACTTTAACCCTCTACTTCTGCCAATGGACAGGCCTGCCAGACAGAAAATTAATAGAGAAATAAGGGCTCTACCAGATGTTATAACTCAAATAAGCTTAATAGACATCTATAAAACATTCCACCCAAACACTAAAGAGTAAAACTTTTCTTAGTACCCCATAGAACCATTTCTAAAATTGACCACATACTCAGTCACAAAGCAAATCTCCACAGCACAGCTACAAAAAAAATGGAATAACCGCCTTTATCTTATTGGATCATCAGAGCTTAAAGTCAGACCCCAAGAAAAACAGGAATTCTAGAAAGCTTATTAAATACATGGAAACTGAATACTGCCCAATTGAATCACTCCTGGGTCAAGTAAGAAATAAAGAAATTGAATATTTCCTAGAATTCAATAAAAATGAATGTACAACATACCCAATCTTATGGAACACTTTGAAAGCAGTGCTAACAGGAAAGTCCATAGCACTAAATGTCTACATAAAGAATTAACAAAATATCTGAAAGCTCTTGAACAAAAAGAAGCAAACTCACCCAGGAGGAGAAGATGACAGGAAATATTCAAATTGAGGGCTGAAATCAATAAAGTAGAAACAAAGAGAAAAATAGAATCAATAAAAAAGTTGGTTCTATGAGAAAATAAACAAGATAGACAAATGCTTATCCAAACTAGTGAAAAGGAAGAGAGAGACCATGCAAACTAACAAAATCAGAAATGAAAAGGGGAACTTAATAACAGACACTGTGGAAATCCAGAGAATCATCAAGTCATACTTCCAAAACCTATACTCCACAAAAATAGAAAATTTAAAAGAAATGTGCAGTTTTCTAGATAGGTTCTACATACTAAAATTAAGTCAAGACCAGAGAAACAATTGTTTAGAGGTCTTATTTCTGTTTCATTTTTAATTGATAAAGTATTTTTTATTTCCATATTTTAAATGAATTTTTATTTAAATTAAAAACAAAGTTCCCTCTCCCTTCTGTCCTCCCATTTACCCCACTCTCTCCCATTCCAACCCCTATCCACTCTTCAGGGAGGGTGAGTCCTCCCATGGAGGAATCATCAAAGTCTGTCACATCATATGGGGGAGGACCTAGGTCATCCCCCATGTATCTAGGCTGAGAGAGTATCCCTCCATAGGAAATGGGCTTCCAAAGCCTATTTGTGCACTAGGGACAAATACTGGTTACAATGCCAGAGACCCCATAGACTGCCCAGGCCCCCCCAGCTGACACCCACATTCAGGGTGCCTTATTTGGTACTATGCTGGTTACCCAGCTCTCAGTCTGGGGTCCATGAGCTCCAACTTGCTCAGGTCAGCTGTTTCTGTGGGGTTCTCTAGCATGGTCTTGACCCCTTTGCTCATCACTCCTCCTTTTCTACAACTGGTTTCCAGGAGTTCAGCACAGTGCTTAGCTGTGAATCTCTGCTACTGCTTCAATCAGCTACTGGGCAAAGGTTCTATAATGGCATTTAAGGTAGTCATCAATCTCATTATAGGGGAAGTGCATTTAAGGTAGCCTCTCCACTATTGCTTAGATTCTTAGTTGGGTTCATACTTGTGGCTTTCTGGAGATTTACCTAGTGCCAGATTTCTTGTTAAGCCCATAATGACTCCCTCTATTAAAGGATCTCTTAGCTTGCTCTCCTTCCTCTGTTCTTTCCCCAACTCGGCTTTCCTGATCCCTCATGTTCTCCTCCCCACTCCCCTTCTTCCCCCATTTTTCTCGTCCCTCTCTCCTGCTCCCCCTGTGCTCCCAATTTACTGAGGAGATCTTGTCCCTTTCCCCTTCTCCGGGGGGGGGGGGACAGGATAGACAAAACAATCCTGTACAATAAAGAAACTTTCAGAGTTATCACCATCCCTGTCTTGAAGCAATACTATAGAGCTACAGTAATGAAAATAACTTGGTATTAGCACAAAAACAGAATGGAATCACATTGAAAGCCCTGATATTAATCCATGCACCTATGAACACCTGATTTTTGAAAAAGAAGCTAAAATTGCACAATGGAAAAAAGAAAACATCTTCAACAAATGCTGCTGGTATAACTGGATGCTGACATGTAGAAGATTGCAGGTAGATTCAAATCTATTGCCATGTACAAAACTTAAGTCCAAATGGATCAAAGACTTCAACATAAACACAGCTACACTGAACCTCTTAGAAGAGAAAATGGGAAGGACCCTTGAATGAACTGACATGGGAGTCCAATTCCAGAACATACCACCAGTAGCACAGATACTGAGATCGACTGTTAATAAATGGGACCTCCTGAAACTGAGACGTTTCTATGAGGCAAAGGACATGATCAACAGCAACCCACATAATGAGAAACAGTCTTTACCTACCCCACATCTGACAGAGGGTTGATTTCTAAAATATACAAAAAAACTCAAGAAGCTAGTCTCCAAAACACCAAATAATACAATTAAAAAGTGGGGTACAGAACTGAACAGAAAAGTCTCATTAGAGGAATGTCAAATGGCTGAAAGGCACTTAAGCAATTGTTTAACATCCTTAGCCATCAGGGAAAAACAAATCAAAACAACTCTGAGATACCATTTTACACCTGTAATAATGGCTAAAATCAAGAACACCAAGGACAGTTTATGCTACAGAGGATGTGGAGAAAGGGGAACACTGTTCCAACGCTGGTGGGAGTGCCAACTCGTACAGCCACTTTGTATGCAGACAAAAAGAGGGCTGAGAAGAAATCAGACAAACATAACCCTTTACAATTGCCACAAACAACATAAAATACCTTGGGGAAACACTAACCAAACAAGTGAAATAACTGTTTAACAAGAACTTTGAGTCTTTAAAGAAAGATATTAAAGAAAACACCAGAAAATGGAAAGATCTTCCATGCTTTTGGATAAGTAGGATCAATGTAGTACAAATGGCCATCCTGCCAAAAGCAATCTACAGACTCAATGCAATCCCCATCAAAATCCCAGCAAAATTCTTCACAGACCTTGAAAGAACAATTCTCAACTTTATATAGAAAAACAAAAAACCCAGGATAGCCAAGACAACCCTGTTCGACAAAGCAACGTCTGGAGGCATTATCATTCCTGACTTCAAGCACTATTATAGAGCTATAGTCCTGAAAACAGCTTGGTACTAGCACAAAAATAGACAGGTAGACCAATGGAATCGAATTGAATACCCTAATATTAACCCATACACGTATGAACACTGATCTTTGACAAAGAAGCTAAAATTAAAATGGAAAAAGATAGCATCTTCAACAAATGGTGCCGGCATAACTGGATATTGGCATATGGAAGACTGCAGATAGATCCATGTCTATCGCCATGCACAAAACTTAAGTATAAATGGATCAAAGACCTAAACATAAATCCAGCCACACTGAACCTCTCAGAAGATAAAGTGGGAGGTATCTTGAGCAAATTGGTACAGGAGACTGCTTCCTGAACATAACACTAGTAGCACAGACATTGAGATTGACAATTAACAAATAGGACCTCCTGAAACTGAGTAGCTTCTATAAGGCAAAGGATACAGTCAGCAAGACAAAAAGGCACCCCCACAGATTGGGAAAAGATATTCACTGACCCCACATCTGACAGAGGGCTGATCTCCAAAATTTACAACTCAAGAAGCAAGTCTCGGAAACACCAAAGGATTCAATTAAAAAGTGGGGGTCCGAACTAAATAGAGAAGTCTCAACAGAGGAGTCTAAACTGGCTGAGAGACACTTAAGAAAGTGCTCCATATCCCTAGCCATCAGGGAAATGCAAATCAAAACAACTCTGAGATGGCATCTTGCTCCTGTCAGAGTGGCCAAAATAAAAAACACCAATGACAGCTTACGCTGGAGAGGATGTGGAGAAAGGGGAACACTCGTGCATTGCTGGTGGGATTGCAAACTCTTACAGTGACTTTGGAAATCAGTATGGATATTCCTCAGAAAAATGGGAATCAGTCTACCACAAGACCCAGCAATTCCACTCTTAGGAATATACCCCAAAAATGCTCATTCATACAACAAGGATGTCTTTCACAGCAGCATTATTTGTAGTAGCTAGATCCTAGAAGCAACCTAGATGCCCCCACAACTGAAGAGTGGATAGAGAAAATGTGGTACATTTACACAATGGAGTACTACTCAGTGGCAAAAAAAAACAATGAAATCTTGAAATTTGCAGGCAAATGGGTGGCACTAGAAGAAACCATCCTGAGTGAGGTAACCCAGACACTAAAAGACAAACATGGTATGTACTCACTTATATATGTATTTTAGACATGAATCAGGAGAGTGTCAGCCTACAATCCCAATGACAGTGAGTCTCGGAAACAAGGAGGTTACCAAGAGATATGCATGATACCCCAGAGAAGTGGAATGAGGCAAGCTCTCTTAAGCAGATTGCAAACATGGGGGAAGGGGAGAGGGAATCAAAAACAAGAGAGGGGAATAAGAGGAGGGAAGAATAAGACATTGGGGGGGAGTTTGAGTCAGGGTAAGAATAGAGGAGAGCAAGATGAGAGATACCATAATAGATGGAGTCATTATAGGTTTGAGGAGAGAGCTGACACTAGTGAGATTTCCAGAGATCTACAAGGATAACACTAACTGACAAACTAAGAAATTGCACAGAGACTACATTAATAGCTCCTCCCTGATGATAAGGTTGAGGATTACCTTATATGCCATCCTAAAACCTTCATTCAGTTACTGATGGAAGCAGAGACAGACACCCACAACTAAACACTGAACTGATCCCCTGGAACTCAGTGACAGAGATGGAGTAGTGATAAGCAAAGGGGTCAAGACAGTGCTGGTTAAACCCACAAAGACAGCTGACCAGACAAGAGGGAGCTCTTGAACACCAGACTGATGGCTGAGAGGCCAACAGGGAACTGATCCAGATTCCACGAATGCAGTGTCAGTGAGGAGGCCTCTGAAATCTCTGGGGCCTTGGAGTAGTAGATCAGTGTTCACCATGGTGAACATATGAACTTTGGGAGCCCATTCCACATGGAGGGATGCTCTCTCAGCCTGGACACATGGGGAAGTGCCTAGGTCCCGCCTTGGATGAAATGACAGACTCTGGAGATCACTGCAAGGAGGACTTCACCCTCCCTGGGGAATGGTGTGGGGATTGGGTGGGAGGCTGAGGAGGGCTGGCGGGGGGGGGGGGGCAAGGGAGGAGGGGTGGGAGAGGGAACTGGGATTGACATTTGAAGCATGCATGTTTCTAATTTAAATAAAAACATATTTAAAAAAACAGTGGAATCTTGAAGTTCGCAGGTGAATGGATGCAGCTAGAAGAAACCATCCTGAGTGAGGTAACCCAGGCACAGAAAAAAGCATGCTATGTACTCACTCATAAGTGGATAGTAGACAGAACAAAAGATAACCAGCCTATAATCTACAACTCCAGAGAATCTAGGAAACAAAAAGGACCCTAAGATTTTCTTTTTCTTAAGTGCATGTAGATTTTGCTTGAAAGTAATCTAGAAAACTCTGGAGTGCAGAAAGTAATATGAAGGAAAAACACAACTGGCCTCAGGCAGGTTTTCTTCAAGGCTGAAGGTAGTTTTAATTCATGAGCCCTAAGTATCTCATTTCAGAGAATAGAAGCCACAAGGACTAATCCACATAAATTACACTGGTCAGCAACAGCCTAACAACTCATTCAAGTCATGGCCCTCATGTCACTTCACTTTCCCATCCCTAGGTATTTATGTTTCTTCAAGAACTGGTCCTCTGCTCTAGGCAGGGTTTTCCTTGCTTCCAACTCTGTTGTCATTCCTTAGTAGAGGTGGAACCATGCTGTCAATCTTGGTGTCCTGAGAACACAGGAGGGTGAGTGAAGCCGTCGTCAGTACTCTATGTGGAAAGGATAGTCCTTGTGGTTTTCAGTTCTGCAAGACAGAATCACGAATTAAAAACAGAAATAAAAAATAGTCATTTTTAAAAGAAATACCTTAAATTGGCAGAGTTGTGCTTTTCTAACTGTCTTGTATAAAAATTAGTCATTATCTTTATTCACTGGCCCAACATTAAACAACAAAGAGTTACAGTAAGGTTTAATTAACCTTGAATGTAACAGTAAATATCTATTCAAGAACCAGTCATCCCGCGTGTGTATAACTCCCTTAATTTTTAAAAGGATGTAAAGGAGATGGACTTACGAGGGGAATGTGGCCAACCGGAGGTTCTTGTCTAGGCTGAGGAGTTCCTCCATATCTTTTTTTGTTAATTCAAAATCAAATACCTGAAGCCAAAATCAGATGATAATAGGGAATTCAGATTAAACCCATTTAATTGGCATGAGTGTTCCCTACAATGGACACCAAGATAAGAAAAAAATTCTTCATTAGATACCTAGAACTCCCCAAAGATAGCTGAGTCTCCCAAAATGCACTTTGATTTTCTTCACTTGATGGGCACAGGTTTAGCCTCATTTACATTTAAGAAACCTTGGAAAGATGAGCTATATTTTGTTTTTATTTTATGGGAGTGAGGAACACAGAGAAAGAGTTTTGGAAAAAACAAAGTATTTTCTCCACTGACCTACTACCCCATCAACTAGGAAGTCAGTTGGTACTGACTTTGGCATCAAATAATGCAATAGCGTTCTGAGTAACTTCATGTTCAAATAGTATTCTTATCTCTCCTGCCCTTCCCCCTCTAACACATTTGACAGCTATGATCAAATTCCCCTAAAACAGTGTCCCCACAGTGACCACACTCAGTACAGCTGAGGGCCTGAATCCAAGGAGAACAAACAGAAGAACATCCAGTGGCTTCACCCTGCTAAAGAGGGAAGCTGTAGGACCCCAACCTCTACCCTAGGGAGATGGCTATCTTCAGGTTTAGCCAAACCAGCTACACAGTAGGTATGGAAATAGTAGGGAGGCAGCCTCAGTGCAGGAGTCATTAGTACCAAGGGAAGAAGTAAACAGTACTAGAATAAATACTAAACAGGTACTCTGAGCTGTCATAGAGAGCATAGGCACTTGTATTGAAAGCCTTTGGCCAGCTCAGACGACAAGGCCCCAGCCTATGATCCTTGATATTTGTCTTCTAGTTAAGCTCACGTACACAATTCCTGGCTCCGGAAGAACTGACTAGCACTTTCTCTTGAGCCTCTTGTAAACTTTGTCCTCAGCATCAGGTTCCATTTCTTCTGTGACTCTTGGTTAAGCTTTAAAAGGCTTCTCTCAATCAGCATTTTATAATGTTCTAGCTAATTAAGAGGCCTAACACATCCGTTTTCACTGATTTGTGAAGAATATAACACCCACAACAGCTGCCTTCGATAGACTAGTGGACATACTCCATATGGCCCAGACCAGCTAGATGCTCATTAACCCTGCATTCCTTCCTCTTGAGCACACACTGGGCATATCTAGCTTCCTTTGAGGGTCAGTGTGGCAGAATGACTGAATGGGAGGGAGGGGCTCATTCCACACAGTGGTCTGTTACAAGCTTCCCCATGAGCTCCTCTTAACTCTTTCCCCAACTTGGGTTGAACGGAGAAGATATCCAGCTTTGGCTGTGGTGGTAGGGGCGACAAAGTAAGAACCTCTCCTAACTTTGTGAAAGGCAGGTCACCAACACAGTTCATAGAGGAATACACCTCTGTGGGGTGACAGTCACAGAGATCTAGGCTTGATGGTTTGTTATGAAAGTTAGCCAGCAATCTAGTCTCTAAATCATGATCTGAAACACTCTAAAACAAGGAAAAGCCCACCTGGAAATTCTCCCTAATTCGACTTGGGGTGACAGATTTCGGGATCACTATCACATTCCTTTGGATCTGAAATCGGATCAAAATCTGTAGGAAAGAAAGTTTCACATAGAAACAAAACAAATGGAATCAAGGCTAAGGAATTATAATAGTTCAGTTTCATTGTACAGCAAGAGCACAAAAGTCTTGCAATCTCAAAGGCCTTTAGGAATCAAACTTAACTGCTTTGTCAGTGTATTTGTAACGAATGTCATCAGCCCAAGGAGAAGGTTAGAGGACTCACCCACACCTTTACTAGAATCCCTCAGCATGTATCCAGTTCCCCAAATGATAAGGATATTTGGATAAGGCTGACTTTAATGACTGCTCTCTCTCTCACTGGTTGTCTGTGCCATTGGTGGGGCAGAGGACGCGGTACTGGAGGGCATCCTGAGTGCTGACAGTTGAGAAGGCAGGGTATATGGTTTGGCTGGATGAAAACATGGAAGCAACCAACTTAGAGCTCCAAACAAGGGCATTCTGGAGAATCAAATCATCCAGGGTGAACTGACCCCTTTCTAGAAACTAGCAAGGCCCACGATGGTGGGGAGAGATGTTGGAGAAGTGTGAGCTCAGCACCTGACACTTCTTTCCCTGTACCTGAGCAGAAGACTTCCCATGCTTCTTTGCAATCTTCCGAACGACACTGTCATCCAACAAGTCAACCCCATTGCTAGAGAGACACAGCAAAGCATGTCAAGTCATCAGAATAGTCAACACAAATGCTTACACAATTTACTTTTCTCTAAGATTAAAAATTTATCATTTTTTATTTTACTTGCTGACTACTTTTTATTTTTGAGGTAACTCACTTGGCAGACCTGGTTAGCCTCAAAAATCAATCCTCTTGCCTCTTAACTCTTGAGTGCTGAGATTGCTGGCAGGTGTCTCCAGACCTGGGTGAGGTTTTCTATTTTTCTTGTTTGTAAAAACTTTTAGTATAAGATATTTTTAAGACTGGTCATATCCATCAAAAATTCATCCAAGCAAGGATACCAGTAATCAAAGCAAGTCGTTTTATTTTATTTTAGATAGGGTGTCATATCTGGCTTTGAGCTTGATATGTAGCCTGAGAATGGGAGAGATCTGGCACTAGTGAGATTTCCAGAGCTCTATAAGGACGACCCCAACTGGCAATCTAACCAATAGTGGAGAGGCTACCTTAAATGTCCTTCCCCAATAATGTGACTGATGACTACCTTGTATGTCATCCTAGAGCCTTCATTCAGTGACTGATGGAAGCAGAGGCAGACACCCACAGCTAAACACTAAACTGAACTTCTGGAACCCTCTGGAGGAGCAATGAGCAAAGGGGTCAAGATTGGGATGGTGAAACTCACAGAAAAAGCCTACCTGAACAAGAGGGAGCTCATGGACCCCAGACTGATATCTGAGAGGCCAGCATGGGACTGATCCAGACCTCCTGAACATGGGTTCTTGGCATTCTTTGTGGCCTCGGGCAATAGATCAGTATTTATTCCTGGCATCCAAATGGACTTTAGGAGCCCATACCACATGGAGGGATGCTCTGTCAGCCTGGACACATGGGTGAGGGCCTAGCCCCTACCCCAGGATGATATGACAGACTTTGGAGATAATCCATGAAGGGCCCCACCCTCCCTGGAGAGTGGAGTTGGGATTGGGTTGGGGGTTGCGGAAGTTAGGGGATGGGAGAGGAGGGGAGTGAGAGGGAGCTGGGATTGACATGTGAAGCAAGCTTGTTTCTAATTTAAATAAAAAAAACAGGAAAAAAAAGAGAATGACTTTGGACTTCTCATCTTTCTGCTTCCTCTTCAAAGTACTGGGATTATAGGTATGTACTACATCTGGTTTACACAGTGCTGTGGAATCAAACCCAGCAAATCATCTTTTATTAAGAAGTTAACAGGTTTCAAGAATGAAGCAAGTCAGAGCAGAGTGAGTGGATGTTATCTTGCCATAAGTCTCTCAATTTCTCTAACAGAGACCCTTCTATGCCAAGACTCAGCTGTAAAGTATGACCCAGACTTCTAGCATCTCCGGAGCTGCTATCAAGTCCAAATCTGTATACCCTATTTCACATGAAAAAAACAGAGAGGTAAGAAAAAAATGAGATAAGTCCAGCCTTTCCTGGCTTCCTAATAGTTTGCTGGCACCCAGCCTGAGGGTAGGAATAGACTAAGAAGAGATGGTCCCTGTAGTCAGGGGACATCAGTTCAAAGAAACCTAGTGCATGAAATGGTGAAAGGGAATAAAGATGAGATGCTATGACAAGAACAGTGCACCAAATACACAAAGGGGATCATGGAAGCTTCCTGGAGGACACAGAGCTGCTGAGCTGAACATGACAACAGAAACAAGAGCAAGCAAATTCACAAAAAGAAAAATACAGATTTTAGTTAAAAAGAACAACATGCAATGACTAGAAAGAATATTCTATCCAAGCAACCACCAGTAATTTTATGTGACTGATATTTTGAAGATTTGCAGGACTGGGAAATAGAGTGATCAGAGAAGGATGGAGCTATGTCAGCTTCTCCACACATGCTCAGGCAGAACAAAGTTAGAATAGGAAGCAGATATGATTGTGTGCAATGAGATCACTCCAGCTAGCAGGTGAGTAACCAAAGGAATTGACGGAGCTCCAAGGGTGTTAAGGGGCTAATAACCTAACGGGTTCTGTATTTCATTAAGGTACAGATGAAGACAGCAGAGATCAAAAGACAGACTCCTAGCAATTGAACTTTGTGTTGTGTTGGACTGGGAGTATGGAAAAGGAATGGTTCCACAGTTGTAGCTTAGGTGGCTCAGTAAGGGAAAGGCACAAACTCCAGGTTAGGGGAAAGAAGGCATCCCTTTAGCCTTATCTAAAGACCCTGAATTTTGTGACATGCCTTGAAAGACAGGTCAGTAGCTGACTGACGAACTACCAGGCAGATCAGCAGGGATTCACTTTATGCCAGGTCTGTCCCTTCAAAGCTGGTTACCCTCACAGGAAGCCCAATCAAGGCAACTCTCCAGTTTGAGAAATAGCTCTCTAACTTCTTCTCCCTGGACCTGAGTGGTGTGGGCAGGCCCCTTTACCCTTTCTCAGTGAAGTTCCTCCAACTCTCAAATGGAACACACGGGGAGTATCTAGCATCAGCATTCAGATTAGCACAGTGTCTAACATTTCCTTACCTTGAACCTCCAAGAGGACGGTAAGCTGTCACAGACACATTTCTTTTATGGCAAAAATCAATCAGATTCTTCTGGTTAAGATATGGGTGGCATTCAATCTACAAACAGAACCATAGTATACCAAAAGAAGTCAGACAAGTAGCATCCTAGGAAAGCACCCAAAACACACTTGATGCCCCCAGCATCACTAACTAGGTGGATGGCCTCTTTTTTTTTTTTTTTTTTTTTTTTGGTTTTTCAAGACAGGGTTTCTCTGTATTGTTTTGGAGGCTGTCCTGGAACTCGCTCTGTAGACCAGGCTGGTCTCGAACTCACAGATATCTGCCTGCCTCTGCCTCCCAAATGCTGGGATTAAAGGCGTGTGCCACCAACACCAAGCTAGATGGCCTCTCTTAAGGTGGGTGTCTCCACCTACCAATGAGTAGGCTGGGTCTCAGCCATCTCCAAGATGTCAGATGCTATAAGAGGCTCCAAGTCTGCAGACTCTTAGACACCTATGTCATGCAGAAAGCTCGGGAAGGCTTTCTTCCACTGTGTAGGGACAAGCCTGAGCAGTCTGAAAACATTAACTCTCCCTCCTGCCCTCACATTTCCTACAGTAATCACGTTATCCGACATCTTGCACATTTAATTTGCTTATCGGCTATCTTTCGTCACCAGGATTTGAGTTTCAAACTCAAGCTGTTATTTCTGCCTCCTCCATTTTCTCATGCACAATTCCAGGTTGTAAACAGACTTATAACTAATGCTCATTTATGAGCAGTGCCCTTGCTTTCAGGATCATGCCACATCCAGCAAGATCAGCTTCCAGGGAAGTCTCTTTTGAAGGTTTGTTGATATCACATGCAGCATGTACTTGTCACGTGTAATTCTCTAATTGCATCTATTCAACCAATATTTAGTGAAAAACTTCATGTGCAGGTTTTCAGCTATACCTACAACCAACTTCAGACCAAAAATTTCTATGGTCATTAAATCCCGGTGACAAATAATAGCCAGTAAACATATAAAAAGATAAGATTTGGGGTACCATATATTCTGTGCAAAATGTGAAGAACAGGCGTGGCAGGGAGAGAGACTCATTTCTGGATTCTGCCAGGCTGGGTGAGTGAAAGGGAACAGCTTTCCTTTAATGAGGGTGAAGAGTCTGAGAACCCTGCTCTTCTGAACACACTTGATCATCTGCCTTCAAACACCTGTCAAGAATCCAGATCTGTGTCACACTTTACTCACCCATGGCACTTGCCCATTCGACCAGCCACTTCTGCCTGTGACTTCATTACCATTCTGACAGCTAACACAGACAAACATGTTACCTGTCTCATCCAATCTCCCCATGGAGATAAAAAAAAAACACCTTGTGAAACTTCTGACCATCCACCAGCTCACCTGGTTAGTGATTGGCCTGAATCTCAAACCAGGCTTATTTAGAAGTTTCTCAAGCTGTTCATGGTTAAAGTTTGACACCCCAAGGTTCTTCACCAGTCCCTCAGTCACCAGGTCCTCCATGGCCTGAAAGAGAAAGAAATGGGCTGAGTCCACAAGTTCTGCATGCTGTCTAGCTCTCCGATAAGCCATGATTCAACGTTACGTGGAATGATACCCACAAAGCATTTGGCCACGGCTGGATGTCAGTAAGCATTCAGTGTACTTGTGCTGTTCTACTCCTGCGCTCCAAGGTGACCTAGAGCAGTCGTCTCCACGGCCAGCTCTAACTCTTCACATCTGAGCTGTTCCTACTCCCAGGCTCTGCGATGACCTAGAGCAGTCTGCTCCATGCTGTCTCTATCTCTTCACTTTTCTTCTTACCTAGATATTCATCCTGAGCTCACTGACAGGTCAGATTCTCGTTTCTCACTCTAATCATTACACATTATAAGTAATGTGAGGGCAAAGCTGTCTGAAACTGGGCTGACTTCTGATAAGTGAGCCCTCTACCTTGGCTTTCAGAAAGCCTATAAGCATCATGGCAGTATGGAGGCAGGCAGAAGTCTCCTGTGACTAAAGACAGAAACCAACAAATTAAGGTTCTACAAAAATCACCCAGTAAACACCATGGATGTTTAAACAAGTGTGGTTTGAACCCCAAATGTTTGATGAGCAGAATTCCAAGATGAAAGAAAGGGCTGAGACCCTCAGAATCACTTTGTTCAGTTTCTTTCTGTTTTACAGGAGGGGAGGCTGCCAGGGACTTCTTCCTGTCTGTTCTGTTCCTCTTCTCTCCCTTTCCAAGGGTCTGAAGTATCCCAACAGTTTCACCCAACATTCTCACAGGAAAAGCTCCATATTGCATCTTTTGAGTTGAAACTCTTCCCTAAGCTTTGCTGATTTATACTTGAACTTGTTCAAATGGGCGCTGCTCGGTTCCTCAAGCTGGGAAGCAACAGTACTAGAGCTCACATGGAGAGCCTCGCCGTTCTCTCTTCCTACTCTGTCAGCTTCACTGACTTCGTGAGACTCTCAAGTGCACCACCTTCCTGACGTCTCTTGCTCACCACTTTAATCGAGCACTCACCATTTTTCATCTGGACCCTGGACACTGACCTGACACTTTCTCATCTTCCCTCTAACCTTTTCCTACCTTCCAATGTGGGCTTCAAAATGTTGCCAACCTTATGTTTCTGTAACAGGAACTAGGAGAGAACTTCAATGCTATTGATTGCCAGAAGCTGAGGGGAACATGGGTTTTTAAATTTCCTTTTTTATTACTCTGTATTTCCTAGAAAAAATGGTATTTTGTTCTAATTTCAAAAAGAAACAGCTGAGGGAAAAGGAGAGATCTCTATTATTCTATACACTAAACTAAGTTGAATTAGTGAGAAATGTATTTGTTGTATCTTCAGTTTTTCAAGCATTCATCCATAATTCATGGTGTGTGTTAACTACTTCTCTTTTTGTTTTGACAAGATTATTAAAAAGGCAACAGAAGGAAAGGATTATTTTTCGTTTACATTTTAAAGGGATGGCCATTCATCCATCATTGTGGGGGAGTCTTGGTAACAGGAGTGTGAGGGCCTTGGTCACATTACATCCACAGTTAGGAAATAGACAGAGATGCACACAAGTGCCTGACGACCTCTCTCTTTGTATTTAGTCAAGGGCCCCAGTTCATGGAATGATGCTTCTTATACTGAGGGTGACTCCTCTGAGCCTCATTTAATCCAATCTAGGAACCTCTTCAAATACTTGACCTGGGGTTTGATTCTTGACCTAGCTGATTCTAGATCATGTCAAGTTGACAATCAGTATTTAACCATCATATATTTTAACATAGATGTTCATGAGATCTTGTGCAACTTTCATTTGGGTATCTCTAAGTGGGTGTGAAGTAAGTGGCTTGCTTTAGCTTACCTCCCATGTGTCCAGAAAGCTGGTGTTACTGGGTATGACCATTCCAAAGCCATCCAAAGGTACATCTTTTTTTCCAGGCTGTGAGAACCAGAACACATGAAGCTTACTGGGGCTTGTGGCATTCTCCATCAGGAGACTATGTAGGGAGAGAAGACAGATGTGCAGAGTCTGCACCAAAGGACTTTCACTTAGCTTAACCCTGTCACTAAGGCCTACTGGCCTGGCTGTGCTTTTTGTCCTCTCTAGGCTCAGCTGCCACTTTAAGACCAAGTGGGAAGGGAAGGTGAGGTCAGCAAAATCCCATCATGAAACTTTCACAAAGTTTGAATGCCCGCCTGATTGAGATTTTTAAAATCAAGAAACAACGGGGCTTCCTTCACGTCTTAATGTAGTCAACTTTTGCCCAACAATATTATAGGGTTTTTATTTTTCTAAGACTTCCCATCAAGATGAGTGACAGCCAAGTGAGAATACAAAGGCAGGGTATGGAGGGAAGAGGAAGACATGCTGAGAGGCAAAAACCTAGTCACTTGGCTGAACAGTAACAAGGGCTTACACACTACATGTCTCTCATGGCCAATTATACCTTCCTAGTTGGTCACAGGATAAGTATCAGAAAATATATATGTCATAATTTCTAATGATTTCAAATGTTGGAAATTCCAGCTTAATTCCTATTTTATATTTTCTATGATAAAACACAGAAAATGTTTTGCTCCCAACCTCTCACCCGTGTTAGTGCCGATTGGGTCTTTGCAGAAGTCTATCTTCAAAGTGACTAGTACCTGGAAACCCATGGGCCAGTGTATGAGGTAGAGGTCCAGGTAATCCATGTTTAAGGCCTTCAGGGTATTGGTGCATGCCGTTTTCACTAACGACTTCTTGTGGTAGGTACACCACAGCTACAGAAGGAAAGGGTCACTATTGTTACAAGGCCATAATCAAAAACCAACTGCTCAGATACTCATTGGTTCCCCCCCACACACACACACACTTACACCTGACAACACCACACAGCATGTTCTAAAGGAAAATAGTGACATTATCCTTAGAAAAGGGTTGCTGTTTTCCACAGCAGGAAGCCTTTCCTACTCCAGAGAGGTTAAGGACAGCACAGGAAGGCATTTAAAGGGAGGCTGCTAGCCTACCTGAAGGTTCGGTGAGAAACTTATAAATGAGCCTGCCTTCACCTTGAGTTTGAAAGCCATCTTACAATAAAGACAAACTAGGTTCATTCCTGTTTATGATTAAATCTGTTTCTCAAGAATTGGTCTGTGCCCCTCTGTAACCTTAACTACAAATGATTCTATATTGTCTGTTCCAGGAAATGGCAACTGTGTTTTGTTTCAGGAGATTGTTATGATTACCTTGCAACCCATGTCTTTGTTTCAAGAGGTTATGACCAATTTGTTATGCTTATGTTGTACTCATGTAAGCTCGCCTATTTGTCTGACCAACTACATATTTGGGAAACTAGTCTTGAAATATAAAAACCCTTCTTACCCACATCCAATACTGATCTCTTGAACCTACCTGTAGGAACAGTCCTTGTACACAAATAAAAAAAGACTTTTTAAAATTAATTTGGCCACAATTTGGGTCAATGGTCTTTCTCCTTATATCTGTGGAATTAACAAGCCCTTGTCCCAAAAGAGTTGGGTAGAATGTTAAAGCAGGACGTTGACATCCTCCTCTGGCTTCCTCACATTAACTTAGGCATACACACATGAAGATACATGACACTCATACCACACATACACACACTGACATACACACACATACATGACAAAGGAAGGGAAGGGAGGGGAGAAATCCAAATTAGAGGTAAACACATCACATTATTAATAATAATTCCCATTGTGAATAAATAAGTAATGTCATCTACTTCAATTATATTTCAGTGATTCTTCTAAGTTTCCGCAATGATCAGCACACTTTCACACTGACAACCACCCACTTGAAAGCAAGATGCACATCGATTATGGATGCTTTGAAATCCCTAGTTCCTCGTGAATGAAGACTCAGAAGAAAAACTCCATCCTTAGCGAACAAGCCCCAACTCGTCTCCATTCCTCCATCTCCTCAATCTTACACAATAGATATAAGCAGTAAAAATCAATCATGTTAAGTAAAGCAGAAATGTGTGATATGTATGTGAGATCTTAAACTCTACATGAGTCCAGCCAATTCAAATTCTCATTTTTAAAATGCTAACATTGGGACTCTGACCGTGTGCCACCTGAGCAGTGCTCCTGAATGATAGTTGGAACTTAAACATGTGACTGTTTTCTGGTATTAAAACTTGGAATCAAGGCTTAAAACATTTTTTAAAAAACAGCTTTATCCCCATCCCTTATCCTGAGATAGCATCTTACTATGTAGCTCTGGCTGTCATGGAACTCACTATAGGGCAGGCTGGCCTTGAACTCACAGAGATCTGCTAGCCTCTTTTGGGATTAATGCTGTGTGACACCATGCCTGGCAAAAAAAAAAAAATGAAAAGAAAGAAAAAAACAAACAAACCAGCTTTTAAGTCTTGGTTTAACCTTGTGTTGTCCACGGGTGTATTTCCTTACTCGCCTTCATATGTGCTTTCTCTTTCTCACTGCCAGAACAGACATTTCAACATCTGTCACCTACACTGTTAATACATCCTGTTTAAAGTGCACATTCCTCCTGTCAGCTACCATTATGTCCTATGCACACGTCTCATTCACATGTAAAAGAAAACTACCTTACTTAGAAACAGTGTTTGTTCTCAACCCCCTAAGTTTCAAGAAAAAGTGCAAGCTTCTTACATGCCAGGACTTCTATGACTTGAACCCTGTCCATTTCTCCAGTCTCCCTTTCCTTCCTACAGACTCCTACATCTTCTGTGTTCATGCACACTTCATGTTCATTTATGGTTTACTTCCTGTTTGTCAAGCTATCCTGATAGCATCAATGTCTTAGTGGGGATTTTTCAATGTGCACTTTTAACATCACTAGCAGCAGGGGCCTCCACGTTAGGCACGTCTGTGTAGGCAAGAGTTTACTGGGGCTAGAATTTTATCCTGTGTACCTCAGGCACAAAGGTGTCATCGCTCAACCAAGTGTGTGCATGAATGTACTGTTGATTGGTGGCCCTTTGAATTGCCCAGTTTAAAAAAAAAAGTCTGAGGCAAACCTATACAAAACAGAACTTCACATGTTCATGAAACTTTAGAAGACCTTGTTAGCTCTGAATCAATTGCACACTGAAGACACCAATTTCCATAAGGAAACTGAAAAATCCTCTAGGCTAGATGATTCTAACGGTCTCAGTATCCCGTCACTGCAGAGGCTGAGACCCTGCCGTCCTTGCAACTGAGAAATCTTACCTTACTGACAACAAACAGATCCTCTCTTTTCACCACACCCTCCTTGATCTTGGAGTTGATTCCCATTCCAACTTCAGCCTCATTGCCGTATAAGTAAGCACAGTCAAAGTGTCGGTACCCCAAGTTGATAGCCACCTTCACAGCATCAGCTACTTCTCCTGGAACGGCCTGCAATACAAGCAAACACAAGGATCCTTCTGTCATCATGGGACACCAACTCAGTGTCCCCCTTGTCACCTGGGAAAGTAGAACCAAGTCATAGAAAAACACCCAAATCATTACAACAGTACTAATATCAGCCAAACCTAAAGTTATGGAGGGTCGGAGTCAGGATGTGATTATGTGGCTATGTTAATCATCTGGGGAAAGACCACAGGCATTTTCAGCTCCTGCTGAATGATTACTGTCGCGTTCCTGAATGATTACTAAATGAGTAACAAGTAACGGTAGCTGGAGCATGAGGCAGTCTGGGATCTAACACTCAGGAATGTTGAATCAGTGGGAAAGGTAAAACAAATGACACCCATCAGATACCTGTGTGACAAGTACAGGAGTAGTTTAATGGCACACAGTATACGTTTCCATTAAATCTGAGAGGTAATAGGCCAATTTAGTCTTGAATTCGAGCTCTTCCGTGCTTTGATCCATAGTTTACTTAATTATTCAAAGCAGCATACGTAACTAGATTTGCTAAATTATTCAGTACCACCAGTCAATGTCACGTTGTGCTGTGGTTTTAGGTGCTTTCCACATTTTTGGAGATAGAATTAATTTTTTCATTGTGTTGAGAAGGTGATGCTTTTTTTCCTGTTTTAATTTTAATTACAAATACTTATTAATGATATTAAAATATACAGCTATAATTGCTTTTATATAACGAACCGCAGGTTCCTCAAAGTACAAAATAACTGAATATCCTTCTTCAGTTACAGAAAATAAAAATAAGAACACTGTCCAATGAGCTAGTAAGTGAGAGATGAGAGCAACAGAAATAGGTATTTGAGGAATCAGAAAAAGACCAACTTTGGAGAGACCTCTTGATTTTCCTAAGCCTTCATCTAAACGGTAACTGACATTTCTTCTGTGTCAACCTTCACTATGAAGCACCCAAGAGCACACAAATCATTAAACTGCCTGAAAAATCCCACCCTTTTACAAAACTTTCCAGAGAAACATTTATTTTAAAAATCTTTTCTAAACAGAATTTTTATTTAATTTTTCATACAACATATATTATGTTGCCCCCCTCCCAGACTTTCCTCCCCACCCAACTTCATGTTCATTCTCTCTATTTAAAACGTGTTTTATCAGCGTATAACAGCTGCTGCGCAAGCACTGGAATCACTAGCAAATAACTCTACTGTCATTAAGTAGAAGCCAGAAGTGGACAGAAAGATAGTGCAATTATGTATTTTTTTGTTTCGTTTCTTTTGGTTATTTTAGCATGCAAAGTAGCATGCTTCCTGGTGGCCGTTTCATACACACTTGGTTTTACTGTGCAAGGACGATTAGTGCTACAGGGCACAACCTTCTTTGGAGATTGGAGGTCTATGAATATCTCACACAAGGTCGGGTTCAAGATCACTTTGCTATATATAGTTTAGCCTGACTCAACCGTGCAGGGGGCAAGTGTTTTAGGACGTTGAACACTTGTTGAGCAAGAGGGAGCCCGACTCTTCAGGCAGGACCTTGATCAGAGCCCGGTGTGGAGGCAGTCACCCCGCGATCCTGACCGCTCCTGAGCAAGTATTCATCACTCTCGAGTTCCCTTAATCAGCCCAATCGCAAACCGAAGAGTATCCTCACCTTCCACGTGCCCAAGCCCACTGTAGGGATATTTTCCATGGCTCCCCTTGACCCACTGGCTCAGCCTCCAAGCAGCACCGGAGGGGCCCAGGCAGCCGTAGCGAGCTCCCAACTACGTAGAAAGTCCAGGTAGCTTGGAGGGAGCGACTGGAGTTCTGAATCTCTAATTGGCTAGCGGAGATGTCCAAACGTTCTCTGATTGGCTGGTAGTATGGTCAATCTTTCCTCTGAGCAATTGAGTCTGGTTGTGCCTTTCACCTCTCATAAATCCTCTGGAATCCTAAGAGTCCTGTCTCCTAGCAACCTGGAAAGTAGGCTGACTGGCATACAGGTTTATTTCCTGGAAATCAGATTCGTTATGCTGATGTTCATTCCTGCTATACTGGAAAATAATTGGTTTGAATATAGTAACTATTTGCAACCTTACTATGATTTGTGTTAGTTTGAAGAGCGTTTGTTACTTTGTTTTAAAACTATAGATAAAAATATTACCTGTGAACAAGGAGAATTTTGTTTCTTCCTTCTAAATATGTTAATGCTTTATTTCCCACCTTTGCTTATTTTAACTAGTTTTTAATATTGAAAAACAGAAGCGAGAGCCAGGCGTTGGTAGTACAAGCCTTTAATCCCAGCACTCAGGAGGCAGAGGGAGGTGGATCTCTGTGAGTTCGAGGCCAGTCTGGTCTACAAGAGCTAGTTCCAGGACAGCCTCCAAAGCTACACAGAGAAACCATATCTCGAAAAACCGAAAAAAAAAAGAAAAATGGGAAAAAAAAGAAAAAGAAAAACAGAAGTGAGAAAGTCATTGCCATGTTCCAAATAGTGGATAATATGGTGTGAATATGATTTTCCCAAAATATATCTTATGGTATTATAAAAATCTCGTTCTGGAAGATTTTTGACATGTACTCCTAATAGCCTCTTTGAAAAACTCATTTGTATGCCCTGGTGCAACTTGACATTCAAAGTTATGTGTAGGTCTTGTGACAACATCCAGTTACTTAAATCTTTAATAAGTACAGAATCTTAACTGCAATTACTTCATTATCAAGCATTGTTTTCTGTGGCATTTCTTATTGAAGTTGTCACCTTGGTGATTTGTTTACTGTTCAGATATACTTCTATGTAACAAGGGGCCGGCAGTCCTTCATGGGCATAGCTAGAAGGTTTGAGAATGGGATTAGGAAAGCTCACTTGTAAAAACAATATGGTCTGCAATGGAAAAGTTGCACAGAATAAAACTAGGGCAAAATTAACGTCAATGGAACTTGAGAAAGAAATAAGCTATGAGCTGGAAATGATAACTGTATAAGATTCAAGACAGACAGCACTGGTAAATGGAAACATCGATTTCGCTATTTGATTTAAAGATCCCCGACATAGAATATTTTATCAAGGTGGGGAAGGAGACTAGGCCGACCTTAACTGAGATTTCACCTTTAAAAGTGTGTTGCTGAACTGAAGAGATTTCTCAGGGATTCAGAATGCTTGTTGCTCAAACATTAGGACTAGAGTCAGATGCCATAACCCAGATAACAAACCAGGCATGCCCATGAATCCTGACAATAACTATAAGAACAATTAATAATAAAGGAGGCCATGGGCTTGAAAGAAGCAAGGAGAATATCCTGGAAGTTTGTGAGGAAGGAGGTGGAAGGGTGAAGTGTAATTATAATTGCAAAAAAAACACAAACACACAAACAAAAGGATATCTTGTGCGTATTACACAAGATAATCCCTTAAGGATGTGCCTGGAGGAGCATCTCCCAGGTGACCCTAGGTATCACTGAACTGAAGGTAATCCTAATGTCACAAGATGAATTAGCTAGAAGGAACCAGAAAAGCAAAGGGGGAATGTAAATAGCTGTTCTGAAAATATTATCTTTATTGAAATAATTAGAAAAATTGAGGATTTACCATAAAATAGTGCCAGAATTTTGTACCCTTTATTTTGTTTATTACTTATTTGGCAGAATTTAACAATGTTACTTCGTCACTAGGACCAGTAAGTTAAACCAACAATTTGTTTTTCCCCCTTGTTCGTTGCTATATTATTTATCAGATCTGTTCATTAATTTGATTTTTGCAAGGGTTTATGGGAGGAAGTCTATGGATGTGGAAAAGTCTACATATTTTCCATATCTCTTCATGACCACTTCATTTATTTGTATCTTGTAAAATCTGCAAAGTTAAGCCATATTTTAGATTTGTAAGACAACTTTTTAATAGCTTTTGATCCTAAAAAATATTTTATGCAAATTAATAGGAAGTATCTCTTTGCAAGAGACTGTGTTTTCAGATGTCAAATAATAATAATACATGTGATGGGAATTTATTACTCATAGCCATACATACAGTTTTATTTCATGTATTTACAGGAATATTCTCCTTTCTTTAAATGGTTTCTATCATTTCAGAACAGCTTAGTTCAATCTAGTAATGCCTTCTTTTTTAATGGCTATGTCACATTTCTTGGTAACAATTTGGGAAAATTAATATAAATGCTACAGATGTAAATACTTGAATAAATACAAGTATCCTTTATAAGAAACTCAGATTTTGATAGCCTACTTAATGTTAAGACACTGAAAACCTTGATTATGTATTCATGACAGGGTGGAGATGAATATAAACCCATACATACACATAATGCAAAGACTTACATGCATGCATATATATGTGTATGAATACACCTATATGCACATAAATATCTATTCAGTAAACATAACATATTTTGGTCTATACCAGCAACTTAGCAGTGGGAAATTGTGCAACAATGACTAAGGTAATTATGAAATATTTGGATGTTATCAGATTAATTTTATGCATTTTAATAAACACCATGTTAGAAATCATATTTTATTATTGATTATTTATAATTATAGTGAGAAAATTCACCAAATGCAAGTCACAAGTTGATAACTACATAGGAAACACTTCACCTGAACTTTGGAAATATTGTTACTGATTGTCTATATTTAAAAAAATGAAATTGAGGACTGTAGGGGAGAGCTCACGTGGGAAAGGCGAGAATTATATAGGAGAAATAGAAAGTAAATCTCTCTCTTGGATGCTGGCCATGTTTCAGAGAGCAAAGCATTTATCAGCTTCCCATGTAAATGATTGCTCCTTTTAATAAATACCCTTGTCTCCCCATTGCATTGTTTCCTCATCAGAGGACAAATAATAAGTAGTTATATGATAAAAAGTAATCTACCGTAAAGACACATGAACTTTATAAGTTGGTTTTTCCTGCCCTCTGGTGGTCATTCTTCAAAATACATATATGTGTGTAGGTATGTATGTGTGTATATGTGGATGTATATATCACATGTGTATACATAGAAATGCATATATTTCTACATAGATGTGTGTTTAATTGGAATTACCTTACTATCTAACACAGGTTATAATATTCCTTCCAGATACTCCAGTTGCCAAATAAAAAGCTAAGTGCCAAGTGTACCTACCTTACCTTGAATTGTTGGTATGTATCTCAAAAACATTACAGGCCATTGACACTGATCTTGATTGCACACCAGAATTTGATGAAATGATTCTATTGTTGAAAACAACACATATTCTAGTCACAGGATACCGAGAAACTGAGTTGACACTTCTGCTGTCTAGCTTTCATCATGCCAGAAGTTTCTGTGTGGGCTGCTGTAGGAGAAAACTCATCAACAGTTTATCTGACTGTAAACCTTTGTGATGGAATGATGTCCTGCATGGCAAGATATGCCCCTGGACATGTGCAAATATTATGGAGATAATAAACTACTTTCTGATGGGATATGAGGCTCATTTCACAGAGCGAAATGCATGCCTGGTACTGAAATCTAGGCAGGAACCCATGGTCATGGAACTCACAAGCCACAGAGTGAATCTGCTAAAACTATCTTGCTAAATGATATAGTATGAGACTGTCCTCTGAACTTTTATTTATATCATTATTTTGTACAGTTCTCCCATCTTATCAGAGAAGCCTCTTTGTGCAGTAGTGGAAATGGAATATAAAAGCTCACAACTGGCCAATGTGTAGAGAATAAGAGATATTGGATGTTCATCCATAGATGAGATGTCAGGATCACTAGCTCTTACCTCTACCTCAGCTCGGACTAAAGGGGCTATCCTCAAACTGCTCCCGACTTCACTACTCCCCCAATTCACTCAGACTGCTATGCTCTCCTCAACATGGCTGGAGAATAATAATCATGAGACTGACAGTCTCTAACTTTTATACCTCTCAAATCCTAGGATTAAAGTCATGAGTTCTGATTCACTCTCTGGTAGCCCAAGGTAGTCTTGGACTCAGAGATCCATCTGCCTTTTTCCTGAGTCCTGGTATTAAAGATGTGCCATCGCTGTCTAGTTTCTACAGCTGACTAGTGTGTCCGGCTTTGCAAGCTGATTTCCAGTGACTTTATTAGATCATAAACAGTATATCACCACAGTGGTAATGTAAGGAATTGGATTAGTTTTTGTCTTGATTCTCTAAAAGAGTATTGGTGGGAAAAAAAGTAAAATACCTCCAAGAAAAAGAAAGAACTTAACATCACAATTAGCCATGTAGTGAGGGCCACAAGTTAGGAATAAAGAATACAAAAGACAAAGTGCTTAGATAGAAGTCATTGAAAACTTCTGTTTTCTTAGTCTCCCAGCTCTCCCCCGCCTACAATCCTCACACAGGGAGGAAGAAGAAGAGGGAGAGAGAAAATGGAAGAAGGGAAAAGGGAGAGGGTAGAAGAGAAGACTTTTGAGTTGATCAAATCAAATTATCATACAGACTGAAGATGACAGAGTTGATTATGGAAGCCATAATATCTGTATTAGTTAATTTACTGTTGCTGAATAAAAACCAGGAGAAAAGCAACTTAGGAAAGAATGAGTTTATATTGGTTTAAGGTTCCAGAGGATACAGTTCATCATGGAGAATAGGTTCTGGCCACAGGCTACTGAATCAGGAAGCTGGCTGATAACATTTATCAACACACAGAAAGGAGAGGTAGAGGGAGGAGGGGGGAAGGGGGAGATGAAGACAAAAACAGAAACAGGGGTGGAAGGAAAAAGAGTCTGTAAGAAGTATGGGGCTAGCTATAAGCATTCAAAGTCATCCCCTAAATGTCCCATAACC